TTTGGAGATTGTTCTCATTGTTTTTTGATCTGCATATTTAGGAAGACACTGCTGAGGTCAGACGAGAGTGCATCCTCAAATGTCTGTGTGTACCTAAATGAAGATCCAGAGAAGCTGGTGAGGGAGTACATGGTATGTTAAATTCTCTTTGTGTTTACAATAGAACTCCTAAGAGTTGTTAAAATACTTTCACCAACTAAGGTCCATGAGTGACTCAATCAATGTCAATCTTAATTTATTTATTTAATTACATGTGAATTGTCTCTCCCCCAATACCCTTCCCTAACTCCCTTAGGACGTTGATGAATGCGCAGAAATGGCCAAAGCCGAGGCTGTCCTCGGAATCGTCATTTGAGCAGAGGGTGCAGAGGCTGCCGATGCACATCTGGATGTTGGGATTGTCCTGGAGGAGGTGGAAGTTATGAACAGCTTGGGCAGTGTATCTTCTGCAATAGTGATGCTGCTGGGACTAATCTATGCACTAAACTTGAGCTACCCTCAAGTTTAGTGCGTTCAGCACTCAACTTGCTCAGTAACTCAAGCATACCTTTGAAGTAATACAGAAAATAATAATGAAATTGGATGGAAAGAACTTATCAAAGAAAGCACAAGTTCTCAATATGAAACTCACCGCTAAGTTGAGTAAAGTTTCATATGGAAAATGAGTGTTTAAAGTCTGCAGTAGAAAAGATTTATATTGTTACGGTTCTCTAAGTTGAGCAACTATACTGACATGTTTTATGTTGTAAAGAATTGGCTGGGAAATGAAACTGTAACCTTTTTGTAGTTGTTTTTTTATTTCAATGTCCAACTCAGCTGTGTTTTGTGCTGTGTAAAAAAACGATGTATAACAATTCTGAAAATACAATTGTGTTGTACCTTTTCTAATTGTTGAGTGTTCTTCCTACACTTTCACCTAGTGCTATCTTAAAATGCTTGATTAACGCTTGAAAATATGTCTTTGAATTAACGTCATAAAATAATGGAAAGGATTTCCACACGATTAACTAGCTGTCTTTTAGCATGAAGCATATTTGTTGAGCTAACTTGCTTTTAGTGAGTTGGACCTACTGAATCAGGTAGTGTGAAGGTACCACTGTAAAATAAGGTGGTTTCAACTAGATTTACATTCATCTTAATGAAGTTACATCAATGATTTGGTCCTAAACATTGCAGATTAGTTGGGCGGGCTGTATTGCACTACACTGGGTCATGCTATAGTAACTGAGTTAAAGGAACCTTTAAAACATATGTTGAGTCAACACATTTCATTTGAATTTGAATAACCTTAATGAATGGAGTAGAGCCAACTCATTTGATTTACAATCATCCATTGCCTTACCATAATTCTGGTTAAGCCAACATATTTGGTTTAAATTAGAACAACCTTAATGAATTATGTTTTGCCAACTCATTTTATTTATATAAGAATAACCACAATATATTACGTTGAGCCAACATGTTTGATTTAGAATCACCCATTGAATCACCATAGTAACAAGTTGAGCCAACACATTTGCTTTACATTGGAATAATCTTAATAAATTAGGTTGACCTAACACATTTGCTTTAAATAGGAGTAACACAAGTACATGGTGCTGAAATAAAGCAAAGTAATCAGGTGGAAATCCTTTCCATAATTTTTTTATGTTCATCCAATGACTTATTTTTTTCAGTGTGGGTTTTCACGAGTCCTGGAAGGATGGGGTGTCTTAACCTTTTCCTCAACTAACTTCTAATATTTTATTTGCAAAATAAAATTTGTCTCCTTGAATCACTCTCTTACCAGAGGTTTTTAAAAAAATCGACTAGACATTATTATGTCAGCAATTCTTTTGAAATTGACATTTATTAGAATGTCAATTTTATTAGACGTTTATTAGAATAATAAGTAGGATATTTTTTCACACGACTGTGAACAATATATTTAGCTTAAAAGGATCAAAGGCTCCTGGAAACAATTAAATGAAATAGTCAGTTGAATCGCTTGGTTTGGCAGGTGAAGAAAGATCACTGCACTGAGTTGGCACAAAACTGTTGGAAAAAGCAACTAATGAAGGCGATCCTCCTGAATATTCCAGGCTTCGAGCAAATGAAAACATCTTGCATGTTTTCTTCTCTTGCAGAAAAAATAAATGACAGTATTCTTTATATATATATATATATATATATATATATATATATATATATATATATATATATATATATATATATATATATATATATATATATATATAGTACAGCCACGATAAACTTATTACTGCTTGAATGTTCCACAAAAGATATCAAAAAGGAAGATCTCTGAACCGTCTCGTGGGGTCATTCGTAGACTTTCAGTACATTTTCCAAGGTAAATTAGTTCGCCAAACATTTTGGGAACTGGTCTGTTTTAACTTGAAGTGGTTTCAGATGCAGAAGTAGCTGAAGAGACTTCAGTGTGCGTTTATCTCCTCACGCTTCGCTCTCCCTGGGAAGCGGCTGAGTGGTGGTGGGGCTGGCGATGCTGAGGGGGCTGGGGAAGAACGAGGGGATGTACGGGATGACGGACATCAGCGGGCTGGCCAACGGGCTCTCGTTGACCGGGGTCATGGGGATGATGATGTCGTCCTGGTTCCACACGTGGAAGGCGTTTGGGTGGGAGTGGCTCAGGGCGGGCGGCATGTGAAGGGGGTCGACACCCCCGACTTCTGCGTCCTTCTTCAGGTCGTCTTCAAGCGGGCCCAGCAAGCAGTCTGTGAACAAACACACTTCGTGAAGTTTTCGTGTCATTCCCAACATTCGATGAGGCCAACATGGCGCTGAAGGGTTTCACCCTAGAAAAAGCGTTCAACGTCCACTTTCTGTACAACTATGTAGTGTGTATTGTTCCTGTTTTGCAAGAGAATTTGGGATAATCGACACACCTGCCATGCTACAAAATGTTTGGTCTCAGAGGAATTGCTTTGAGGTTACAGGAAGGCAAATAACTATTTGTAAGGATTTCTGTTCTTTTTCACTCATGCATTTATTCTTCATAGATTTGCATATAAAATTCAGGATATTACCACCATTTTATCTGGGGCTTAGAGATGATTGCTATTTTCCAAGATAATGTTGTACAACTGCAACCGCTACAATAATACTACAGTTTCAATAAACTACAGAAAGGTGTGTGTGTGTGATTGATGAAATAAAAACTTGACTGAGAATTATCGTCTCTATTTGTTCGAATAGCCCATGTCAAATTCAAACATTTTCTCAATAAAATTGCAAAGGCGAGAGTCGACTACTTTACTTAACGCAACAATTTTTGACAGCAGAGGGCACACGACTAAAAGCCTGATTAGCTCATGCTTAGGTCAAGAAGAATTATGTAGTGGACCTTATGTCTTACCTGTTATATCCAGCATGAGATCTTTAATGAGGTGGCCGACGATTGCGTACGCCACAGCAACAACAACCAGGGCAGCCATGATGAGGTACAGCACTGACTTGGGGAGCTGGATGAGGTCCCTGGGTGGGGGCTTGTATTGCTTATACAAAGGTTCCACATTTTGTACCAAATACTGGAAGGACTGTCCCGCTGGGTCTGTGTAGTTAAAGCTGTCCATATTTCCAGAGTGGGAGCTTCCTCGACTGAAGAGTAGCTTCTTCTGTGCATTCAAGGGAAAACAGCTTTTGGTTTAAGTCTTCTTGCCGCTGAAGAGTCTCTTCCTGAAGCCAAAATAGCGAATTTGAGCATTTCAAAAATATTAAAACTAGTGAATGGAGAAAGTCTCTTACCTGACAAGTGCTAGGTTTTTGTCAGTTCCAGCATTTAGATTAACTCTTGCCATTTAATCTAACTAAATCCTGCTCTCCACGATATCACATCATGATCAACACTATTTCCTGTAAGTTTGAAGAGGAATAATGGTATTTTCAACAGACGGTGCGCATGCTGCTTCCTCTGTCCTGACATAATCCAGAGTGTGGACAGTGACAGAGTGAAGGGGAAGGGAAGGAAGGGATTACATCAGATCACAGCGTCGGTCCAGCGGCACCCCATCCCAACCCCAATCCCAGCTCACATACAGAACTGGAGGGCATTTAATCCGCAACAAATCTTGCCAGTGCTGCATCAAGCGCTTTACACAAGACTGCCCATCCAAGGTACAACATCTTTACTGTATGCCATGAAAAGTGTCACTGTGACAGTGCAAGCTGTTTTTTGTTTCACCGTTGTGAACTAAACATAATAAAGTATATAAAACAGACTGAATGAATAAAAAAACAAGTAAATACTACAATATTACAGCTAATACTACAACTATTGCAAGTATTGTAGTATTGCAATACTACAACATTGTTGCTTTCAGTTATAAAAATGCTGCACACATCAAACATAACACAAAAGAAATTGTACGCCTTGAATTTGTCTGCTCTTTCTGAAACTAGTATCGTTTCAGAAAGTATTGTAATACTACAATACTACAACTGTTGAAAAAAACTGCAAATCCCAGAGAAAGGATTATACAGTCACAACGCAAACTATGATAGAACAGGTAAATAAGAACAAATATAATCGAATCAATCAGACACTATTTATAGCAAAGCAACTTAACCAACGATTCTAAGTGATAGTGATGTTTCAGGTGGATGTAACTAAATCTATTTGAACTAAGCAACACAAGACTCAAGCACAACAGACTACTTTTCTAAACAAGAACTGATAGTTAAATGATGATCTAATAAAGACATCCCATCATCAAGGAACAAATATGGTTACAATCGTTTCCACCATCCGTTGCTACACACAGTCCTTTATGTTAGAGCAAATATTTTCATCATGATCACAACAAGTTACAATTACAGGTTTTTCCAAAAACATTTCAAGTGGCTCAAATAGACTTCAGTCTCAACCTTGACCCCTCATAGACTGAAGCTGAAATTTCTCTTTTGTCTTTAAGGAAACGAGTAAACATTTAATTTTTTTTAATTGAACGGAATGGAATATGTGTCATTTTTCTCTGCTTCGCCGTTGATCTTTCCTGCGTTACCGTTAACCGTTTCGCGTCGAACTGCGTTCCGTTGCCATAGCTGCGGTCCAAATGAAGTTACCCTAAAAACAAAATACGTTCTCATAACCTCCGGCTGACAGGTGAGTCATCTGACATCTGCTATGAAGAAAGTCGTCAAATCTGTCAAGTATTTCGTAACCCTCTTAAATTGACACCCGGAAAGCTTTTTTTTCCCTCTTTTTACTGAAAAGACATTAGAATGTGGTAGTTTAAAATGACCGGACTTTAAACTACTGTAGCTTGATGGTTGCTAATTCACTTCTTCCTTCTGTACGTTCTGCCCGTTAACATCTAGTTACGTAAAAATAGTACTGTATACACCGTATTAAATTATGAATGACGTGAATTCACAAACTGCAGACCGAGATGTGGGAATTTTGTGTTTACTAACTGGCGGAAGCTAGCATGCTAACGCGTTGCTAGCTTCCGCTCATAACCTCTGCGTTGCTAGCTTCCGATAGCAACGCGTTAGCATGTGACCTGCTGGCTACGTGCTAACCTTTTGCTAGAGCGGTTACATTATCCCGAATCACAGAATAACAGACTGGGTGGAATGTTTGTTTAACGAGGACATTTGTTTGTTTTTTTGACGTTCTGTACTTTGTCATTTTTAACAAACTGGAATCATTATGAATTCAAATGATTCACTTAGTGTCACACTATTGACACAAGCTAATGTTTGAAATATGTTAATTTTCTTTACCATATAAAGCATTTCAAATTGAATCCACAGTTAGCTTTTAGCATCACATTTTAAGCGTGTTTTCCAATCCAGTAACCTTTTACTGAAAGCTAACCATTTATTAATCTTGGCTAAATACAGCAAGCATTGTTTAAAGTGTCCTGCTCTTGTTGCTCAAAATAGATGACTATATATTTTAACCAAGAAAGTAAAGAACAATTAACTGAAAATTATAGGACATTTGGCCCTGAAAAACACACACCATCAGTGTAAATTGTTTAAGGTTATAGACTTTTTTTTTTTTGAATGATGCAAAACATATTGATATGGTTAGTTTGGATTCCATGCATAATTCTTTTGGACTTATCTTTTGTCAGTTGTTTGAGATGTCATTCGCTGTATTTACTAATAATGTATGTATCCATTATAAAGACAACAAACACTCTAGCCTGATGGGGTGTTTTTCCCCAACGTAGCCTTAACCTTTTTTAGCACTCGTTTGTCATAGTGGTAATATTTTTACATGCGGTCTAAATTTTTCGACATAAATAACATTACTTTCACTCAAGCTAATCTTGTGCTTTCCTACATCCAAACCTTAACCCAGACGCTGCCTTACGGTCAGACAGGCCAAAATGGATTTCTTCTTTGATGACCTTCCATCCAGCTCCCTGTCCACTCCTAAGAAAGGACATGAAGACTCTCTGATGGTAAAACTATGGCATTAAAAAAAAAATCTACTTTTAGATAAGCACATTTAGGCAATAACCTTCTTTAACATTAAATGTAATTTCATGACTTACTTTAAATACTCTCATTGTTTAAATTAATGATATGAATCACTGCATTTATTTTTCATAAAAAGAAACATTTTAAGTTCCCAAGTTAATTCTCAGGCTCTCTTAAGGTTCAAGAGTTAAAAAAAAAAAAAAGTTTTGGTCAAACCGCTTATTTATACTTTGCGGATGTCTATTTCGGTCTGTAATTTTTCGTCTGGATGACGAAATAATTTCTTGCACTATTGTCCTTTTGTTTTCAGGTGGAAGATACAGATTGTGATTTGTCAAGAAACAAGTCGTCAAGTGTGAGCATGACTGAGATTCAAGAGCGCCGTAGCAGGTACAAAGACATCCACGCAGGCTGTGAAAATGCAAATTTGCTTTAGGAAATGACGTACATTCCACCGGTTACGTTACATTTTAACATCTGTTGCAGCTCATACATTGATGAAATCAGCAAAAGAGCCCAGGAAATGGTGGAAAAAATAAACCAGGAACGAACCAGAGACCAGGAAATGATGGAGAGCTTTCAGAAGCAGCTAACAGAGAAGGTGTGAATTCCTCTTAGACATTTTGTCCAGAAAAGTTCTGATTCTGCTTCAGACTCTTCTCTCTTGTTTTAAACAAAGGTTCTGGCCTTATTTCTTTCCTCCCTTCTTCAGGTGGCAGAGATGTGTCAGCTGATAAAAGAGGAAATGTTCACCATCTATGAGCTTAACAGCAATGAAATCCAGGTGAAGCTGCAGGAGCTGTCTGAGGTTCTGGAAAAGTGCTCGAAGCTGGAGCACGAGCTCCTGGAGGCCAGTCAGGCCTTGTCATGCCTCAAAGATGGTCTCGACATCAATCAGAGACCAGAGCCCTAACAAATTCATTTTATGCTCAGCTAGGGTAATTAAATTGAAGACATGTTGAATGGGGTTTTTTTTGTGGTGTCGTTGGTGTTAAATAATTATGTTCATTTGTCTTCATTCCTTCAGTTGTTTATTCCTAAACAGCTGATTTTGCCTCTGGTTTCAGTTCACCCTCTTCTGACATGAGCTAAAACAGAAACAGGCTAGCCAAAGCGAAGTTCGCGTTTGCTTCATGTTCAGTTTCAGCATCGTAATGTTTTGTAATAAATACATTCACAAGACAAGGGAACAATGCCAAGTTCTGTTGTGTTATTTACAGAACATTTGCAGCACACAAATCTTACTGGGAGATAAGTATATACAGTATTTCAACTATAATCATTCAAACCAATTTATTTACATAATCAAGTAATACAAAATATAACAGCTGAGTATTCACCAACTTATTAAACAATCAAACGCTTAATTGTTTTACTATACAAGTTGTAACTTTTATAGTGAACTGTAGTTCAAATATTTAAAAAGTTGTCTCTAATATTTTACTCTAATATGACTGACAGTAGCCCTAAGCGTGAAACATCAACCCACATAAATATCTTGTCCCGGTAGTTCCATAAACATAAGTGTGATCAAGTATTCATCACATGTGTCCAGCAGCACTGAAACTGTACAGGAAACTGTATTTCCCAGATTTTTCAGATCATCAGCTTTTATCTAGACGCTGTAGTCCGTCTATTTTTCCACGGTGAACGCCTGCAGCCCGGTGATAGCTCTGCCCAGGATCAAAGCATGGATGTCGTGGGTCCCTGTCAAAGGAAGACAATAGAAAACACCTTAAACAAGGTGTTCGTAGTGAGTTAAGATAGAACTTCCAACATTCTGTTGCTGACCTCTGGTGGTTTTTATGTGTAACTGCAATACAACGTTAAAAGACCATTTTCCCTTTATTTTATGAAGCATGATTGTGATTTTTTTCCGTTTTCCAGCACAATACCAGTGTAAATGAAGAGGAACAAAAACATAATCAAATTTCTAAGATCATGAGTTTTGACTGAGATATGTGTTTAAAAACCCAATTTTTTAATCACAATTTTTTGAGTTAATGATCGCAAATGTCTTTCATTGTCCTTTCTCTTCAAAAGCAGTCACTATCTGTGAAGCAAAATTATATTCTTAAGACAACTATACACAAAATGTTGAAAAAAAAAATTCGCAGTGGTAAAATATCTTTAGCTTCAGTTCAACCAAACTGTTTCAGTTCTTCCCTGTACCTATCACCATGGTCATTTGGAATGGAAATCCTACAATTTTATTATGTCTTCTCCTCACCATATGTTGATTTTTCAATAGAAAATCTTTAACAGATACATATGCTGAACTGATAATTTACTGATAAACTAGCATTAATCCAAATGACTACCTCTGAAAAGATCTCATCACTGAGCAACAGTGTATGAGCATAACGCCATAGCACATTTTATGTAACTTTTCAAGTTTGCTTAGCATAAAATAACATAATATCTGACCTTGCTGGACTGAATCTCTCTTATCTTTGTAGATCATTTAGCGCAAAGATGATTTAAAACATTGAGTGTTGCACAGATAATATATTGAACTTTGTCACGTGTCCAGTAGCTGAGACCTGCAGCATTTAATGAAATAACATTTACACAAAGAACATGGGTATGACATTGATAACTGACTACATTATTTTTCGGAGTATAAGCCTCTACTTTTTTCCTACGTTTTGAACCGTGCGGCTTGGATTTTTCTTCAACCGCCAGGGGACTCTTTAGCAGGAAGTGAATCATTGGAAGTCAAAAGAAGAAAGTACTAATTTTCATTTAGAACAAACACATGCTAGCAGCAGGCACGACAGAGAAATTTCTTCAAACTCATATGATGCAGCTTTTAAGTTGAGGGCAATCGATCTGGCAATACAGGAGGGAAACAGCTGCTGTTCATTTGTAAGCTTGGCATGAACAAAAACCATGGTTCAGCGTTGGAGACGCAGGGCTGCGCCTTAATAAATCCAGCAGATTTATTAGGACGCATCCTTCTGCTGGGTCCTGATTGAAAACCGAGAGAGGCGAAAATACCAGCGGCTTATAGCCCGGTGCGGCTTACATATGTACGTTTCCATTCTTTTTAAAAAAAAATTTGTAAGTGCGGCTTATAGTATGGTGTGCTCTATAGTCCAGAAAGTACGGTATTAAAATGTGTTTTTCTTCTTATAGCTATGCTTTTTCCTACCATTATGTCTTCTTATTACAACCCATCCTGGTTTATGTGCCTGCTCACATATCTAAAGTGAGTTACTGAAATTTTGTGTGCCCTGGACTCTTAAAGAAAACCTGTATAAGTTGAATCTGTGGTCTTAGTTTGGGCTGCTCCTCTCACTCACCTTCGTAAGTGTTGACAGCCTCCAGGTTCATGACGTGACGGATGATGTGGTACTCATCTGCAATACCGTTTCCTCCCAGCATGTCCCTGGCTTGTCTGGCAATGTCCAGAGCCTTGCCACAGCTATTCCTCTTCAGCATGGAGATCATCTCCGGTGCTGCTCTATAGCAATGACAGACACATTAGCAATTAAAAATAAGCTACAAAACAGGCCAAGACACAGGAGTGAAAGCGTTCCCCTCACTTCTTCTGATCAATGAGCCTTCCGAGGGTCAGACATGACTGCAGGCCAATCGTGATCTCTGTGAGCATGTCTGCCATCTTCTTCTGCATCAGCTGGTTCCTGGCCAGTGGCACCCCAAACTGGATTCTGATCAGGAAATGATAAGTCATGAAAAAAAAAAAAAAACACTTTTTAAAACCGGCTTCCTGCTTGCAAATTCTGACGCGCCAACTGTCCATGTACCTGTCCAGAGTGTACTGCCGGGCAGCGTGGAAGCAGAACTCTGCAGCCCCTAAAGCTCCCCAGGCAATGCCATAGCGGGCATTATTCAGACAGCCAAAGGGACCCTGACCAAAGAGGACAAAATGACCCTACTGCTGCACAAAATCTGTGATCTGAGTAAAATTTGCTACTTACACCAAGGCCTGAGGCATGGGGCAACAGGTTCTCATTGGGAACTTCCACTTCATCCATCAGGATCATACCAGTGGCAGATGCCCTCAGAGAGAACTTGCCCTCAATCTTAGGAGTCGCAAAACCTTTCATTCCACGTTCCAGGATGAAGCCCCGAACTTTGCCATCCTCACACCTGGCCCAGACCACAGCGATGTCTGCAACAGGTGAGTTTGTGATCCTGGCGGAAAAAAAGAGCACCGTCCATATCATACATCTGGACGCGCTCAGCACATTCAAGTTAAAAAAATAGACAATCAGTATCAATTTTCCAGTTACTACTGGTGTTCCTCATCGGCCTGTTCTTGGACCCCTTCTGTTTTATTACATTTCTCCTTCCTTCAACTTCTTCAAGAATGTTTCCATTGCAGATGGCACTCAGGTATACTTTTCATCTCAGTCCACCTTCTTCTCACACTTGTGCTGGGTACCAGTTGCCTCTGAGCTGGGTTGGACTTCACACCCAAAATAACAACATTCAAATTAACGCCATACAACATGGCGACACCAGCGTAGACAATGTTCGCAGAATTTCTTACCATTCTATAAATAGTTAATAAACAGTCAAAGAACGAAGCACAACTATCTACGACTCTTCAAAGCTTTAAACAACACACACACACACACACACACACACACACACACACACACACACACACACACACACACACACACACACACAGGTACCTGGTCTTAATTTGTTTCCTCATGCGTCTTTTCTTCCAAACACTTCATCATGTACCGTCTCAATCTATTTAGTCAGTGACCTGCTGCATGTTGGTTCTGTTCAAAGTCTGAGATGTTAACTGTCCATCGTCTCAAGTCTTGCCACTTGTCTGTGAGCTTACCATGTCTTCGCTCCACTGATGGAAAATGTACCGCTGGACGGATTGTACTTGGCCCTGGTTTCCATGCTACTCGGGTCGCTGCCGTGGTTTGGTTCAGTCAACCCAAAGCAGCCAATGATTTCCCCCTTAGCTGCAGAACAAGTAAGCACACACCGGTGAGTTCAATCATCTAATTGTTTTCCCTATGGAACCAAAGTTGGTTGGAAAAAAAGCTGCACTTTACCAAGTCTGGGCAGGTACTTCTCCTTCTGGGCCTCTGTGCCGTAAGCATAGATGGGGTGCATGACAAGCGAAGACTGGACACTCATGACAGACCGATACCCACTGTCCACTCTCTCAACCTCTCTAGCAATCAACCCATAAGCAACGTAACTAGTGCCTGCACAGCCATATCCTGTGGGATAAACAGAGGAAATTTCTGTTAAACATCTCAAAAAAGTGAACAATATGAAGTACAATGACAGCCTTGCACATATGGAGTCTGAAGTTTCCATCTGTATCTTGGAAAATATCTTCTTTGCAAATGACCAGAAACTGAGTCAGATTGGATTAAGAGAGTTCTTAATAATTTCAATCTCAACTATTTATTTGTATTAAAAAATTGCAAACAATGTACTTTTTTCACTTCTTAATGTGAAAAAAGTTCTAAAGGTATGAATACTTCAGAAGCTCCTCTAAACAGCCATTTGAATGTGTGGACAAGTTAAGGCCTTTGTGTTTCTTTTACCTTTAATTGTTGGCCCGAGGACACCCAACTCCCCCATTTCTGAAACAATCTCTCGGTGGAAATCTGTAAGGCAGCAATGGTTTGAATAATCAAAAACCAGCAGCACTCTGGAGAATCTCTTTTGACACTTTCTATAACGTAAACATACAAAAGTGTAGAACAAACTTGTTTCCCTGCGACTAATAGCCTGATCTTACGTTCGTGCCTGTTAGCCATCAGAATGCGAGGCATGAGCTTTTCTTGGCAGTAGTTGCGGAAGGTGTCCCTGATCATGATTTCCTCTTCTGTCAGCTGACCCTCCAGATCCAGAGAGTCCTGCCAGTTGAATGCCACCTTAGCTGCAGGTCAGCAAAAAAGTACATGCATGCATAGTTATGTCACTGCCATACAGAAAACGTTTAGACAAACTTCTTTTAGTCTACACTTACCTGGCTTTGTGGGCTTTTTGAACTCTTCTGCATCTAAAAGACACAGCAACACTGCATTACGCAAGGTGTTATATATGTGTAGATACAATTGTATCTTCTCAATTGAATTGAATTTTATTTAGTAATTATTTTTATCTCCCCCGCTCCCCTCTCCTTTCAATTTCTCACTTAAAGTCAGTGAAGCCCTCACTGGATGTACCTTTAGCAGATGCAGCAGCTGTGCCCTGGGCTCTGCCTGCGGTGACCGCAGCACATTTTCTGCTGCTCGCGAGAAGACGAGTCAAGGCACTTCGGAGAGCCATGGTGCGTTTACTGACCATATGATAGATAAATAAATAAATAAATATGAAAACATGTACGCTATGTAGACAAATTAAAACATTATAAACATTATATTCATTCTAATCTTCCGGCTGAAATCTTTAGTTTAGTTTTACTCCAATCAAAACTTAAATCATCCCTGAGCCTCTTGCCCCGTCGGCTGTCCGTGCAGTGCGCAATATCAACGTCAACACGGATAAATACAAATATTTAAACAAGTCGTACCTTTTTTTTCCAGCCTCTACTCGCGTTTGTCTGTTGATACCGCGACTTTTTCAGCGTCAGGCAGCTGGAAAAGTTGTTTAAGTAATATTTCATGGGGGGAGACGTCACAACTTTACGTAACATGACATATGAGCGTGACGTTGCGTAACTTTCACGTTACACAAGCAACTTTTTTCGGTGCTTCTAACACTAATGACACTGATTTACTGTTTATTTATTGCGTCTGTTGTATTATCTGAATTTCTGCAATGAATTTTCACTCCAAACTGGTTCATAGTTACTGGGCTCAAGTGGGAGGGAGGAGGGTGTAGCTGGACCAGTTCTCAGCTCATTGGCTGGTAATTTAGGAATGGTGCACAGTTTCAGTTGTATGAGCTTGAAAGCAACATGACAAAAATACACATGCAAGTTATAGATAGATAGATAGATAGATAGATAGATAGATAGATAGATAGATAGATAGATAGATAGATAGATAGATAGATAGATAGATAGATAGATAGATAGATATAGATAGATAGATAGATAGATAGATAGATAGATAGATAGATAGATAGATAGATAGATAGATAGATAGATAGATAGATAGATAGATAGATAGATAGATAGATAGATAGATAGATAGATAGATAGATAGATAGATAGATAGATAGATAGATAGATAGATAGATAGATAGATAGATAGATAGATAGATAGATAGATAGATAGATAGATAGATAGATAGATAGATAGATAGATAGATAGATAGATAGATAGATAGATAGATAGATAGATAGATACCCTGAGTTTTTTTGAGTTTTATATAAAAAAACAAACAGAAAATACTAAATTAAGATTCTATATTTATAACTTCAGCCCAGTTTCACTGTAAAGCTTCACCATTCAATAAGTTTAGAGGAAAACAAAACTGACCAATGAGGAGTGAGAACACTTTTTGAAGATTTGCTGTTTAAAATGCGTCATGTTTTTTCAACTGGTTTTATAAATGTTCTAAAGTTACATTAAATCTAGCTTTATGTCTGTTTTACTTTACAACACGGCAGATCCCGATCTTTATCGCCCAATCGAGATTAAACATGCGGTAAAATGCCAGAACATGAATATTTGCCTGTCAATAGCAGATGTAGCTTAAGCAGACAGTATCGTATAGTTTGAGTAACTGAGTTCAGCTGATTATTTTTGTCCCAGAATGCCTTTTGAGCATTCTGAGATTAGATTGTTTCATGGAAAAAAATTAGAAAAGCTTTTCTTTCATGATTTTGTTGGATTGTTGCAGGAATACAAATATCGCACAAAATTCACCTCTGAGAGACAGCATTTAATCTAATAATATTGTTGTAACTGGTATTTTTCTCTCTCTTATTTATTTATTTATTTTTGCTAAATTCTACATTAGTATGCTATCAAAAACAAACAGAATCAAAAGAAAGCTGTGCAGCTTGTTAGATGTATTTTGCTGCTGGCTTTCGCTTGTGGGGTGTTAAAGCAGGGGATGAGCTCTCATGGTTTTCTGAGGAAACCTGATTACATCTCATTCTGTTAAATTATTCATTCCTTTCCTGGCAAAGCTGAACGTAACACTTTTATGTCTGACAGTTTCAGCAAATAGAGTCGTGTTAAGAAATGTGAGAGTGTGTCCAAAAGCTTTGCCATTTCAAGGACGATTTTATTTAAGGTCACCAACTAAGTTTAACATCGAACTGCATCTCACCAAGCCTAAGGCTCTCATTTTACATTGTGCTACTCTAAGTGTTGCATGATCTTTTACTTGTACTATTATTACTCTGAAATGCACATTGTAAAGGTCCAGATTTGTAGGCTTTGTGGTATATAGTGGAGAAATTAAGCCAGATAGCCACAAACCAACTATTACACTTTTAATCTTCCTGTTGGAATAAAATTGATTGGTCAGAACTTAATTTGGAGTCAATTGGTTTCAAAATAAGCATTGGTTGTTTTTGTTTTAAGCAGGGTTTGGCTGAAAAACCTAAGCTTTGAACACGGATTTATAACAGCACTGTTAAATCCATTATCTGAAAATATGTGGCACAACTGCTTTCACATAAACTGACAAGCCAGGAGAGAAGAACATCAATTTAGAGAATTAGCTAAGAGGCCTGTTGTAACTCGTGATGAGCTGCAAAGCTCCACAGCTCAGGTCTCTGTCCACCCAACATAAAATTGGGTGGACTATAAGTCACAAATAAAGTCTGGATATGTCAAAAATACAGACTTTATCAAACAATGGTAAGATGAATGGCACTGTTGTATGAAAGCCATGGGAAGTCCAGTTTAAAGCTTGCACCAAGTCAAGTTGCATTAAGTGCATACAGCAAGTGACAAAATATATATTTTTTTGTCACTTGCATGCAAAATGCTATGTGTAGAGGAAAACACTGCTGATTACCCGAACACACTCTGCCTGATTCTGCCACCCTGTGGCAATGATTTTCCTCTGCAGGCCCAGGAAAGCTGGTCCGAGCTGATATGAGTGGTTTAATAGAGTGCAATGCTGGAAAAAAAAAAGCCTGTTACAGGCTCCAAATAACTTGGGACTGGGGTGGAGTGCTGCTTTCGCATAGGAAGGCTCTGAATATACAGCCAAATGTTAAGGTGTTGGAATTGCCCAGTGGAAGTTCAGATCTAAATCTAATTGAGAATCAGTTGGATTCACAGGCGTCCTCAGTGTAATCTGACTGTGAATGAGCCATTCTGGAAAAGAAAAGGGTGGGAGTTACCCAAACTTGGCAAAGATGTGCAAAGGTGGCAGAGAAATACTTTTAAAAAGGTGCAGTTCCGGCTGATGTCAGGTTCCACAAAGTATTAACTCAGCGATAAGTGCATATGTTTTTCCCAATTTTTAAAGAAAAAGTCTTTTTATTTTATTTTTAATCATAACCTCGTTATTGATTTCTTTACAGTATATAGCAAATTATACTTTTAATTATTTTGTGATAATGGTAAAAACTTTACATTTTAAAATATATGGCCAAAAAAAAAAAAAAAATATATATATATATATATAAATATATATATATATATATATATATATTTAATTTTTCTTTTTTTTTTTTTTTTTTTTTACATAAAACATTTTTTAAAACCTTTTACGCCTATTGAAATAAACACGTTAGTTTTCTCGTCGTAAACATTCCAGAGCAATGTGAGCGAAAGGTGGGGCTTCTCTTCTCAGCGACACTTTGATTGGCCGGATAACTCCTCGGTTTCCAAACCTCGCTCTCTGATTGGCTGCGTCTGCTTTCAATTATTTGTAGAATGCGACGTAAAAACGTGTATTTTGGGACGGTCTCTCTCTCTCTCTCTCTCTCTCTCTATAGCAGCTAGCAGTTGGTCACTTCTTGATGGTTTTCTGCGCCCGGACATTTCCATGACAACTGTGTCTGACGTTTGATCATCAGCGAGGAGAAGAACCGGGCGTGAATATGGTGTCGAAGGAGAAACAAGCAGACTCCAAATACGGTACGAAAAACAAACAAACAAACAAACAAAAAAATTAGCTAGATCTGTCACAGCTTTCTCCTCGATCTTTGATTGTTTCCCCACCTCTTCTCTCCAAACGGGCGAAGAAACGGAAACAATGACTGCGGTGGATGAATGGGTGTGGACCTCTGGGGTGGTACGCTGATCTGGACACATCCTCACAACGGTTACTGTTATTTGTCGTGGAGAAAATTACTATTTCATGTTGCAACAAGACAGTTTGATTTTACGTAGCCTTAGGTTTTTTTTTTTTTGTTTTAACAACAAGATAACGGTACAAGTCTACCTTTTTTTGTAAATTATTCTATTGCTTCATTTGGCTTTTAAAACACTGAAAAAAGAGGCTTGGTTTAAATAACTTTTAAAGAAACCAGGATTTAAATGTCTGATTTATTATTTGGTTACTGTTTTCCCCTGAGCTTGGAAACGATTTGGTGTGTGTGTGTGTGTGTGTGTGTGTGTGTGTGTGTGTGTGTGTGTGTGTGTGTGTGTGTGTGTGTGTGTGTGTGTGTGTGTGTGTGTGGGTGAGTGGGTGGGTGGGTGTGTGTACTATAGATCAGCATATGGTCGTTTCATTCTCAGCTGCACACAAAAACAGAGAAACGTGTGGATTTGACAGATGTATTTTTAAAACACAACAATGGATTCTCCTCAGATGCACATCATGCGAGAATTCTTCCCTCTACATCAGACAAGCGTATGACTCACTCACTGGTTTCTTACTGATTCTCCAAAGTTGCAGCCCACATGAACCCTGGCCCTCTTGTGTCTGAGCCGGGTTGTTGCTCATGCAGGCTGCTTGAGTCATGAAGTTTTAATAACCAACCTTAGCCTTGCTGCAATAACCCCAAGTTTAGAGTTGCAACATGAGATGATAGTCATAGCCACAGTCCCCAAGCCGGTGTTTCACTGGGAGTGGAACACCAGTGCTGCCTTACTGCTAAATTCCACAATGCATTGTGAAGGTTTCAGGAGGTGATGAGATGTATTTTGTTTTGGTATAAATTAGCCCCATTTGGGGGATTTTAGCCTCAACATAGCTTCCTAAAAAAGTTAACGATGAACCAATTGTCCATTGGGTCTGATGCATGTTTCAAAATGAAAAGAGCAGGGGTTTGGATAAAATATTGACAGCCTGTTAATGGCTTACAAACTTAAGAAGCACCTCTGAGCTGACACTCTGAGTGAACTCTGTTTTCAAATCTTCATTTGCTAAGCTTCGAGTAGCATTTGGGTTTTATCGCCATTTTGGTTCCATTGTGGTTTTGGTTGTTTCACCCTTTCAGGAGGGAATTAAAGCTACTGTTGGACACTTCACATCGACCTTACGTCAATTCATGCACTCTTTGGCGACATGACCCTTCTTTGACAACTGATGATTTAAAGTAGTTTTTTATAATCTATATACACTGTATTATGTGAATATATGACTCATGTAAAATCTATCTGCCAGCAGGAAGATGCTTGGGGTTATTTTGAGTCATTTGCTCTTCAGTTTTAATTTCAGCAACAAATAAAAAGCATTTATTACTCAAATCATTTTTTGTTACATTCTGCTACATGGATCAGAACTAAAATACTACTGCAAAGGTTTCATTTAATAATATGAACTCTAATTGAATCAAGCAAGCTTTTAAGTAGATGGGAAGGAAGTGGTTTGTTTACAGTTATAAAATAGACTACTGTTGACTCAAAGTAGATGGTGGCAAATTGGGGAAGTGGGAAATCAACCAGGAGTCTGAGCCTGTTAAGCAGCTGACTTCAGGCTCAACCAGCAGATAGCCTGACTAATTAGACAGCCAATCTTCACTTGTTATGAACCCAGTGTTTTTGAAACACAGGTACACAGTTTCAAAAGGTACATAATTCTTGACTCCCAACTTCCATTGTTTGTCATTTCTTAGAAGCTTATATAAGTATAAGACTGGAAAATGTTTTTGTATTGCAATTTGCGCATTGAAAAGTAATTCCTAGCATTCTTTTGACAATGTAGCCTAACAGTGCATTTCTGAGTTGGTGCTTTTGGTTGAAGGCAGGCTGCAGCCTGCAGTACCTGGACTATGTTCAGCCTTGTCTGCTCGACCCACACAGCAGACACGAGGCAGGAGACTTCCAGTCAATATTAGGCCTGCAAACTCCTCTTTATTGACACACACATACACACACACTGCAACATTTCTTCTTATGGAGATTACTAGGTTTGAATCAGTCAGTCGCTGTTTGGCGTACAGATTGTGATCTGGGCCAGTTTTTTTTTTTTTTTTCAGTTCTGTCTGTAAAGAACCATAAATTTATTTCCTTTAAAAAGCATGTAGGCCAGCGTCCTGAATAGTGTCTGGAAATAGAGTTTTTAAGGTAATCCCATGTGTTTAAAACAATTCCACACAGCAGCTGTGAGTCTGTCATCTCCTCTAATTATAGTTAATAAATAAGTCTTTATCCTTATTCTTTAAAAAGAGAGATAAACTGTAAGGAATAAGATCATCAGGAGACAAATGCATCTTGTCCCTCCAAGGAATGCACACACAGTAGCCAGAATCCATTAAGGCAGACAGGAAGAGCTTCATCTGATAACCCCTCAGAGCCCATTAGTGGAGCACATCAGCCATGACATCATCACACCCGGTAACACACACACACACACCGCACAATTACTCCTGCCCTAACATTCACACTCCTTATAAATAATTTAAAGATCCCTAATACTGACCACACTAAGGGCTGGATCGTTTATGACCGGCTTTAATCCCACACAGACCTGCTGGATGAGTAATGCTGTGCCTGAAGATAATAGGCTGCTTCCAGAACAATGAATAAATAAATCCGCAGCGTTTGGATGCGCCGCAGCACATCACTAAACTACTGCCATGTTTATTTCAACAAATTTGCAAACACATCTGAGCTTGTAAAGACTTGGCAGAGCTGCGAGATGAAAATCTGTTTGCGTGCTTTCCAGCACAATCAGAGATCTGTTTTCCTGCATAAAAGAGCCGAGTCGTCCTCCAGCTCTGAGGCCTCAGTCTTTCAAATTCGTTTTGTCCTTCAATATGAAAGGGAATGGGAAAAGTAGCAATAATAAAAGCAGTAAAAATAGTTTTGTTTGTTGTTTTTCTTAACTTGCCAAATTGCTGATGTTGTGGCATTTAGTAATGTCTTTGCTTTGGCCAGTATGAGATTCTTCACATGTACGATAGCCTTGTTCAGCATCAATTTTATTTAAATTGATGCCAAGCAAAGATAAAACTGTAACTCTACTGATGTAATAATAACTGTTGTAACACCAAAAAAAGAGGATTTTCTACTTATTATTTAAAAGACTGTTATTAATATTTATCATGTTAAATTTTTTTCTTCATCAAAAAGTAAATGAAAAGAAAACTTTTCAAAGCTGTTACTCTGCTGCATTGTTTTATTATCTTTTGGGAGAGATCTTTCTCATTTCCTTTCAAACTTCTTGGTTGAATAACAATACATTTCTATTGACATCTAGTAAGAGCTACGCAAAATTATATACTTAGCTTTTTGTGATCTAAAAGGTATTTTATTACTGTTTGAGACTAAATTCTTTGTGCAGTTATTTTCAAAGTATTGTGAACGGATGATGTTGCAAAATTTGAACGTGGTTACGTGAGTTTAACTGAAATTACTTCCAATTGGAAACCTTGATTCAGATTCCAACATGATATAATCTTTTATTATTATTTTTCTTTTAAATCACTATTGCATTAAGGGAAAATAAAATATTTATTTTCTTTTGGAAATAATTGGCAAATAAAACTTCTAACTGGGAGTTTTCACAGCAGAAATGCACAAGAAGACATGTGCCGATTTGACTGTATCAACCCATGGAGCAGATACAATCAATAGTTAGTGTATTGTTTGTCAGTCACACGTCATGTGCTCCACTGACTACGTAGGACGGCCTTTTCTCAGTTGTACTGTTCTCTGTGTAACAATAATGGTTTAGAACTAGAATAAGTGCTCCAGTAATGCAGAGTTTTTTTTTGTAGCCTATTGGTTGTTGTCAAAACACTGTGAGAAGCTGAACGATGGCATTTAAATGTACAACATTAAGCTTACCAAAATAGGCTGCTGTATTTGAATGAATCCAGCAGCCTGGATTCTTTCACGTCCAGGCTGCTGGAAAAATGAAGCTTCTGAGAAATGAAGCTGTTTATCTTTCCTCATCTAGAACCAAAGCGCTGCTGTGCTTTGACAAAGCTCAGACGTCATCTAAGCCACGCGTTTTGGTAAGGGAGGGTGTTGGCGTGAAGAGGAGCTCCCCTGTTATGTTAGCATCCCAAAATGTTGATTCAGTAAAATGAAAGTAAGAAGCATGCTGTCCTTCCTGTAAAGTCCCACAAAGTTTATCTCTCTTGTTCGATTCCCTCAAAACGTCACCGTGCAGACGAGCCGCCGCCGCTGCTGCAAATTTACTTTATAACATCAGAATGACAGGCTTGAGGGAAGCGGTTAAAAAAAAAAAACAGTAAAGTCTTCAAAACAGTGAAAGAAGGAAGTAAAAAGGTCAGAGGCCGAAGAGCTCTAAAAGGAAGGAGACGACGAGAAGCAGCTGCTGAACGCCAGCTTGCTGCGGAGGATCGATAAAACTCTCTGTACGACAAACTGGGAGGGAAACCGCAACAAAATGACCATGTATGAAAAAAAAGGTACTGTTTCCCTTTTGGATTCTATTCAACAACATGCTGGAGGTTCTGTTTGAAGCAAATTGCTTGGCTTTTTGTTTCAATCAGTTTTGATGGATTTGTTTGTTCTGCGGTCACATTTCTGCTTTTGAGTCGTCCTACATGTCAGCTGCTTCTGCGACATTTTGGCAGGAAATGTTTGGGTATCCTGTGTACGTGTCGGTGTGTAAGCACTGTTTTGGCTGGAAGGCCGTCGTGGCTGATGTCTTGTCTCTCGCCTCTTTTTGCTCATTCTCCACATCTTAGCATGAGCTTAAAGCAGCTTTGTTATCGTAAAGTGTGTGAGACAGAACGTGGAGCATTTCAGAGGAACGCCACCAAATCTTGCTTGCAACAGAACTTCTCTATCGAGCTGGTTTTCCTGTTAACAAGTATTCAGGCGTCTGATTCTTGAAAGTCTTTTGACACGTTGGTCTTACTGTGATGTATTTGTGGTCAGCGTGAAGTTCCTTCCACGGCCTCATCTGAAGGGTTTCCATGGAGGCTGGCGATGCCCACAGGGAGCCCTCCGCCGTCGCTGGGGAGCCATTTTGTGGGTTGTGAGGAATGACAGGCAGAAAAAATCCTTTTGTTCTGCAGGAGTCTTTGTATAATGCTTGGCCGGACTCTTATCGACTCATCATGTCCTGTATGCCCACTGACTGAGAATATGTTACATGCAACAATGTGAACTAGTAAGAAATATTTCTGCAGCAAAAGGCTCAATTTATTTTTTTTTTACAAATGCACTGATTAATCATTTTACTGGCCGAGGTCAATGTCTGGTTTCCTTTGGGGTTTGATTTGCCACAGTCTGCTGGGTGGCACAGGTTTGGTTCGTTGTCGGCGTGTGCCTGGTGCTTCCTCTAGTAGGGTGTGTTCTTTGGCTTTGTGGGGATTTTGGAGTGTGTGGTGCTCTCTTTGGCAGCTGCACCCTCTGCTTGGCTGTGGTTGGTTGGTGGGTGGGGTAGTGGGAGTTTTCAACGTGTGGATGCAGCAGACTCTGAGGGTGAAGGAAGTCGCCTCGCGTGGTCTTGGCCTGTTTGGGTCTTGGCACGTTCTACTTCTTGAGAACGTTTTTTTTTTTTTTGCGGTTTTGCTTTCTTAAATTTCTGCCTCCACTTTTTGAATTAACTTTTATAAATTTGCTCTTCTGACTGTCACTATTGTTATTTAGCTTACAGACTGACTTAGTGATGCACTGATCCTTATTATGTTCTGCTTTGTTTCAAGTTTTTGTTTGAAATATGAAAACGATTCGTATTTTCAGTTCAGTTTGCATTGCTAATGAAACTGCTAGCCATGTAGGACCACATTACCAAAAAAAAACAACAACAAAAAAAACATCTTAGCATTTTCTTTTCATATATCCTTATATTTTTTCTTAATTTACTTGTTGGTAACAGCTATAATGAGACAGAAAGTGCAGTGGAATGCAGAAAGGAGAGTTATGCAAAAATACCTCTGTCCTCAGGATGTTGTGGTTGTGTGTGTGTCACACCACCATGGCTGCAAACATCTGACTTTAAATAATGATCTGAACCATGAAACAACACCAGTTGTGTGAGGAGTCTTTATTTATAAAGCTACATACCTCTTACTTCATGTACTTGTCAGTCCATTTCAAAGAAACTGTGTGTTTTGTATACTGACCAACCAGTGTGTTCTTTAGATGTTTTACATTGACTTTATGGTGTGTAATGCAGTCAAAGTAAAACAAAATAATACAGATAAATACAGTTATCTAAATCTAAATATATGAGACAATAAAATTTATTTTTTTTCTGTCCAAAAGGAACATATTCGTTATTTCAAGTGCAAAATTACAGGTATTGATTTAAATGTTCACCTGCAGTAATATTTTTATTAAAAGCCTCTCAGCAAGTCGGGCATTTTCCTACATATTCCACCTGCTATAGAACAGACCTGATGAGTGCAGGCCATCAACAGCCAGCAGGTTTGAAACTGGGACCAGTCCAGAAGCTCTATGTTAACGCGCTTTATCTTTTCCAAACCTGACCTTAAACTGGTGTTGCTGTTCACAGTGAAGCAAGTTTTACATCACCATGAACTGAGGAGAAAAAGCTGCCAGATTTCAAATCAGAAACCTTCAGGTTCAGCTGATGTCTGCAGCTGCCCACATGGACAGGTTAATAGATCTTCTGGAGAAAGATATTTAAGGTCAAAATAGAAAAAAAAACCTGAACTGCTTGACCCCTCAGAAATGTCCAAACGTTTGAAGAAGTTAAAGCGAGGCTTTTTAACTGATAAACACTGTGCCATTATTTTAAAAAGTAAACCCAAGTTCTTTGAGGATGTTGTAAACTGCAGTTATTGTGATGGTGAGCCTAACCAAACTAACCACTAGATCATTTTAACAGTATCAGCAATGCAGATTTAAGTAAAACTATAGTACTTCTTTAAAAATACAGAGAAAATTAAGGGTTTTTTAGCAATATCAATAGATCACCATCTATTGATATTGCTAAAAAACCCTTAATCTGCCATGCTGTACAGTAGCTTAATAAAAGGCAATCTTGTGACTAATTGAAGTTGTAAAATTTACCTCTGACAACAATCTTTTGAGGGAGTTGACTTGTGGCACAGAGTGGTGCTCAGCTTTGATGTGGAGTCTTACTCATTGTAAAGTGTGTGAGCGGTTATGTGGTAAGACAAGAGGGATTCCTAAAACAGCAATAGGTTTTAGTTCTGCCTGCTCTTCTACACGCGCTGCCATCTCATCAGAGTAAGGACGCATTTAGAGTTAAGAAAGATTTCTCTCTGTCTTTGTTTCAGGGGAGTCCAGAAAGTTTGATCCCAATTTCAAAGGGCCGATCCGGAACAGGTGAAAGCATCTGTTTTACTCATTTAGTGTGTTTGTGTGTGTGTTCTCTTTTTTTAAATTTATTGTCAGACCAAAATAGCAACATGATAAGTCTGATGCTTTTTTTTCCCAGGGGTTGCACGGACATCCTCTGCTGTTTGCTCTTCATCCTCTTCCTGTTTGGTTACTTCGCAGTTGGAATCCTCGGTAAGAATCGTCCTATGTCACTCTAATCCTGTTTTGATTCTGTTCAAAACCCATAAATATCTTGATGATGATTGATTTAATTTAGACTTTTAAAAACTTAAATTTACATATGAAAAATTATGCAGCCCTTTTTTCTTATACAAAAAAACCTACTAAAGTACAGAAGCATTGTCTAGGAAAGGAAACTCGGCACAGAACCTCAATTAGTTGCACTTTTTACCAACCTTATCTGTTTTTCATGCAACTATGAGTCTCTTCTGGCCAGTGCTGTTGTTTTTTTAGCTTCCACCTCAGTGAAACAGTCCTTGCTGTACTGCAATGTGTCAAGGGACACAGATTGGACAGATGGCTGCAAATTTGTCGGGTTTTTTTGTTTTCAGCAAACATCTGCAACTTCTGCTTTCCTGAGATGCTTTTGTATGTTTTTCCTGATAATCACACTGTTGAAATTCCTTCTTTTATGTAGGTGGTTGCTGATGATCAGCTAATCAATGCATTTGATTAGCAGAGCTGAACTGTTGCTTACACCGCACAGTGCTTGTGCATTTTATTTGGTTTTTGCTATAATATCTTATTCATTTAATAAGATATTATCTGCTTGCTACTTTATTCTAAAACCTGCTAAGTTTATGTAAAAACCTCCAAACTGAAGTATTTCATCCCTCTGCAGCCTGGTCTCAGGGTGACCCTAGGAAAGTGATTTATCCCACAGACAGCAGAGGGCAGTTCTGTGGGCAGGCCGGGACCGCACTGGAGTAAGTCACCTGAAGTATTAAAGGTTGCTCATGATCTTGTGTAACTTCCACAAATAGAGTATTGCAAACGCATTCGTACTTCTTGAACCTTTCGACATTTCCTCACGATACAACAAAACATTTCAGTGTTTTTACTGAGATTTTATTTTATAGACTAACACATAGTGCAGAATATCTGTACGTGGAAAGAAAAATTATTTACAGGTTAATTTTCCATTTAGGCGTTTCTGACTGAAGTAGGGTGAACTCAAATACATGCCACACTTTTTAGATATACAGCTCTGGGAAAATTTAAGACACCATTTTTAGGTATATGTTTAAGTAAAATGAACATTGCTCTTTTATTTTATGAACTAGTGACAACATGTTTCTGAAATTCTGATCAAAAATTTTGCAGAAAATGTGAAATGGTCAACATAATGAAAAACATGCATTCCTTTCAGACCTCAAATAATGCAAAGAAAACAAGTTAACATTCATTTAGAAACAATGTTTTAACTAAGGAAGAGATCAGAAATCTATATTTGGAGGAATAACCATGAGGTTTTCAATGGGACTCACTGCATTGGTCTCTTGCTTTTTTCCAGAGATGTATTTCATTTTCTTTTCCAACGTCATGACTATAAAGTGCTCTGTCCGGGTCTGTCAATAAAAAAACTTCTGTCTGTGATCTGTGTCATTGTCACGTTACAGGAAGAAACCGCTTCTGTTTTACTTCAACATCCTGAAATGTGCCAGCCCCCTGGTGCTCCTGGAGTTCCAGTGTCCCACCCCTCAGGTCAGGAAGTGTGGCTACATCTGGTTGCTGGAGCTGCTTTACAGCGCCGATCAGTGGTTCATGCCTGCCTGCTGTTTTCTGTCCCCAGATATGTGTGGAAAAGTGTCCTGACAGGCACTTGAATTTGGTGAAGGCCAAGCTAGGCAGCAAAGAAGACCATGAATACTACTCGAGATACTGCAAGGAGGGAACTAACTTCGCCGCACTGGTACATTTTCAAATACTGAAGTTATTCACATTAAAACGACGTAAAGACGTAAAGAGCTATGTGTGCGGAATGAGGGGATCTTTAACTAAAGCTCTCGCTGCATCATTCAGAGTCCTCCTGAGATCCTGAGGGATGGCCTGTGTCCTGGCATGCTGGTGCCCAGCAAAGCTTGTAAGTGACAAGCTTTCACTTCTTATGATGGCGTCTCTGTTAATTAGTTTCTGCTGCCAAGAGTTTCAAAAAGTGATCATGGGCCTGCCTCCACAGTCACACGGCGCTGCCTGCCTGCCCTGGGAAAGCTGAGCGGCGGCATGGTTGTTGTAGGCAACGAAACCTCGTTTGTCGATGACAATAACAACAGAGTCAACGCCACAGACCTGCTGGAGGCAGCAAAGTGAGTCTACGTCCGTATATACGGACACAACATGATGCTATCAAGCACGTTAATTCGTTTTTAAAAGTTATGTCAGTATAGCAGTTTATGAAATGTGTGTAGCTATTAGGTGCTGTAGCGATTCCTCGAGTGATTAGAGTATTAAAAGTCATGGAGGAAAATTTATCTGCCTCAAAGCTTCGTAAAATTATATGTCATTATTTACTGTTTAATCTGTGAAGTATAATCGTCCATATATCTGATGTTTTCTCTCGACAGGAAGTCAAATATTGTTTTGGAAGCTCGTCAGGTGGCCATGAGAGTCTTTGAAGACTACACTCAGTCCTGGCACTGGATACTACTGTGAGTTTACTTCCCTGAACTGCTCAAATAAAAGTGTTAGATGTTAAAGCGCTGAACAAGGTTTCAGTTTTCTCAAGTGATTCAGTTCCTACTGAACTGAGACAGACATATTGCTTTACTTCAGATTGGTGTATGAAAAATCTTTATGTGGTTTCTGAAAGGCATCAACCAATCACACTGACTTCTGATTGGTTGACGGTATCCCAGTTAATAAGGTAACTCATTAATCTGTTCTCGCTCTGCAGCTGTCTGGTGATCGCCATGATTATCAGCTTGATTTTCATTGTCCTGCTGCGGTTCTTGGCCGCCCCCATGGTCTGGGTCATAATTATTTTGGCCATTCTTGTCATTGGATACGGTAAATCCTGCCAGCTCTAAATGCTAAAATTAAAGGTTGTCTTTAAAGACAATTGATATAACGGACAAGCTTGACTGTTTTTAGGGATTTTACACTGCTACATGGAGTACACCGCCCTGAAGGGAGAACCGGGCGCAGACGTCACCATCCGTGACCTGGGCCTGCAGACAGACTTCTCTGTCTACCTGCAGATCCAACAGACATGGCTGGCCTTCAGTAAGACATTTTCACTGTGATTTATCTCTTTCGATTAACTGATTATTCATCATTTCAATCCGCTTCGCAGTGATCATCCTGGCGATTGTCGAGTTCATCATCATCCTGCTGCTCATCTTCCTCAGAAAAAGAATCCTGATCGCCATCACTCTCATCAAAGAGGCCAGCAGGTTCGTACATGTCGGATACGGTACATTTTCATACAGACGTGTTGCATCATCGTTTTGACTTAATTAAAGAAGCAATGCAGCTTGACTATGCATTATGAAACTTACATTTGGAGTTTTAATTCAATTCAACATATTTGTATGCCACTGGTTATCTACAAAATTTCATCTTTAAGCGCTTCAAAAGGAAAACTGACATATTTCATATCAAATTATATGGAACTAAATAATGAATCGATCCAATTCATGTCAGAGAAAAACACAAATATTCACATTTGTATACATAAAGTCCAAATCAATCCACAAAACAATCAAAGTGAGTTGATCATTTAATGCAATGAAATAATCAACTGACTGATTATTTAACTGCATCAAGTTAATAATCTGCATTATATGTATATCTAACATATAAGCTCATGTTTATGAGCTTATATATCTAATTACTGTATATAAGCTCATGTGATTGCATGGAGCTGTTGACTCTGCAGCAATACCTCCACCTGAACAAGCATGTAATGACAGGGAAAAGGGACTACTTCCTTTAAGCAGGAATTGGTCCTGTGGATGACTGAATGTACATGAAGCACAAATCAAGTACTACAGCAAAACCTAGTTCAGATTGAGCAACTAATAGGCATGGTCGCGGTTGAGGGTTGAAAATACAGAACTGCGTGAGAATAGGTTTATTTTCCATGGTAAAGAAAAATGCAGCCAGTACCAGAATTAAGAAAAGAGATACGGTTAAGCACAGAATGACTGAGCCAGGAGCTCTGACACTGACAGACAGAGTGACACCTCTGTCAGTGACATTGTCCAGGAGCAAGACGCACCTGAACACAGAGTGACTGAGCCAGGAGAACTTTCTATGGAAAAGATAAAATTGAGGGAATGCATAAAGTTAATTGCAGCAGCAACTTGACTTTCCAGGAGACAGACGCATCAAAACAAAGAATCGTTAAGTTGCGAATACCTTCTACGAGAACAATACTGTAATAATATAATAATTAAAATTAGAATTAGCAGAACAGATCAGTGTGAGAAAAAGTGGTCATTAAATCCTCCTGTCAAATGATATGAATTAAATTATTGCTTAATTTACAAATTCTTTTATTAAGTCAGAATGTTTTTATAGCAATTTCTCTGTAGCAAATATAGCAATTTCAGATATCCTAGTAGGTTGCAGAATAACAAGCGTTTTTGTTTTTGGTTTTTTTGTCAGCGCTGTGGGCCACATTATGTCGTCGATGTTTTACCCGCTGCTGACCTTTGCCCTCCTGACTGTGGTGATCGCTTACTGGGCCGTCACTGCAGTGTATCCTTTCGTCAGCCTTCCAAGAAGCTCAATCCCTCATTTTGTCACATGATGTTTCAGTGATGACACTTTGTCACCTTGACGTCTCCAACCAGATTTCTGGCTACGTCAAATGAGCAGATCTACAAAGTGTTCAACAAAACCGATTGCCCGTTCTCGATGGACACATGCGATCCCAAGGTGATCCAGAAATATCTTTTTCCAGTCGGGCTCATTTTTCAAATCATGTAACTGTACTGCTGCTGTAAACAGGTTGCCTTTTAGTTAGAAAGACAATCTCTGCATTGATCCGCCTCTTCTCCTTTTTCCCGCAGACATTTAACACCTCCAATGTTTCAGCCCAGTGCCCAGACGCAGAATGCATGTTTGTTTTTTACGGTGGTGAGACGCTGTACCACAAATATCTCATCCTGCTTCAGTTCTACAACGTCTTCCTCTTCTTCTGGTGTGCAAACTTTGTGACGGCGCTGGGCCAGGTGACGCTATCGGGAGCTTTCGCTTCTTATTACTGGGCCTTCAAGAAGCCAGACGATATCCCTGCTTTTCCCATATTCTCCTCGCTGGGACGGGCTCTTAGGTTGTTGGAAACCATGTTTACTTTAATTATCATAATTAAAAACGTTCTAGAACAAATGTGGCATTATTTATTTATTCTTTCATTTTTACACAAAAGCAGGCGAATCTGTCCCGAATGGGGCATATGTTGAGGTCTGCAGGTGGTGCCTCAGACCGTGTGACATGGAAAATTGTGACTAATTCTCGTGTTTGGTCTCCTCCTGTGTAGATACCACACAGGCTCGCTGGCTTTTGGCTCCCTGATCCTGTCTTCGGTCCAGGTCATCAGGGTCCTCCTGGAGTATCTGGATCAGAAGTTGAAAGGTTGGAAAAACGCTTCATTAAATCTCGTTTCATAGTGGATACGGAGATTTGCTAGTCAGAAGTAACCCTGGTTACTTTAGTAACACGCATCCTCATAACCTAAATCCTTCCACCGCTCTAACCAGCTTCCATGTGTCGATTTAAGCATTATGTTTCTGTGGCGTGTTCAGGTGATGTTCGCTGTCGGCTTTTGTTTCTCTCCACATGTAGGTCAAGAAGTTACATCTTGGTTTGATCAGAACGACTTCTTCCACATGTTTATCGTGTCCCTTTGTCTGACCTTTGCAGGACATCTTGACTTCAACTTTATTTTAACTTTTCTGTAAAGGTTAGATTTGTTTAGTGCATGAATAATAGTTGTCCCATCAGCACATTCTCCCACCTGCGCTGTGGACCTCTGGGCTGCTTCTTTGATTAATGCTCTTCTTATCATGTTTATGTAAACGCCTTGTCTTACAAGATGTTCAGTTGTGCCATACTCTTTTTACTTTTAGAAGGGATTCTGTGTGAGAGATTCAGAGATGGAAATCTTGTTTCATATATATATTTTTTTGTTTTTATTTTGTCGTCTCTGTCCCTGAACTGACTGACAGTCTTCATGACGCCGTCTGCTCTCTAGTTTCCACTTCACAATTATTCACTACTTTGTGAATAATTTGTGTTGGTCTATCCTAATAAAAGGCTGTGAAGTTAGGGTTATTAATATCTGCTTTTACTGTGTTTTGTTTTGCTAGCAGGTCTAATCAGTCTCAGACCAACATATCTGGGTGTCATTGTTAATATAGCTCTGATTATGCACATCAATTACTTCCTCTCTCATCTCCATGCGGTGATAAAGAAACAGAAAATTTACACACATAAACATCCTTGTTCATCCTAAAGTGTTGCACCATTTCCCCTCCTGTCCTCCAGGTGCTCAGAATAAGTTTGCTAAATTTCTGCTGAGCTGCATGAGGTGCTGCTTCTGGTGTCTGGAGAAATGTATCAAATTCCTGAACCGGAACGCCTACATCATGGTGAGCTGCTGCAACTGGATACTGCTGACTGATGGCTCTTCTTTCCAAGAAGTTCACTTCTCATTATTTTGTTTTCATCCAAGATTGCGATCTACGGAAAAAGTTTCTGCACTTCAGCTCGAAATGCCTTCTTCCTTCTCATGAGAAACATTGTCAGGTTTGTTTTTAAATTTTTCATTTTCTACCCTTCATATTCTAATAATCTCTTCCCCACTATTGCAGCAACATGATGCTGTTAAACTCAACACTGTGTGCTCTCTAACGCAGGGTGGCAGTTTTAGATAAAGTGACTGACTTCCTGCTGTTTCTTGGGAAGCTCCTTATTGTTGGCATTGTGGGTAAGGGAGGTTTTTATTAATAGACGGAAACACTCTGGAGACATCCGTGTGTTTTCCCCGCAGTTCAAATAAACTATTTTTGCTTTTTATCTCTGCGCAGGGATTTTCTCTTTCTTCTTCTTCTCTGGAAGAATAAAAGTTGTAGAGAATGCGGCTCCATCTCTCAACTACTACTGGGTGCCAATACTGGTGAGAACAGTTGTGAAAAAAAGCTTGAAAATAAATAGTTAGCATTGCAATAAAGTAGCATATTTAATAAATTGGAGAAAACTGCAATTTATTTACTCATTTATTTGTGATTCAAAAAGTTGTTTTTATTAAATCAACAGAGTACTTACTGGTACTCCTTGCACGTCCTACAAAATAAATTTGACTAAAATATGAAATTGACTCAATATTTTTTGAGTGCTTTGTTTAAAATGGACTTAATTTTCATATATATATATATTTTTACTTCCTGCTTTTTATTTTGCAGACAGTAGTAGTGGGATCCTATCTGATTGCCCACGGCTTCTTCAGCGTGTACGCCATGTGTGTGGACACACTCTTCCTGTGTTTCTGTGAGTCATTTCTCAAAGATAACCGAAAACCTTCTCCTCCTATTGATAAGCTGCTTGTTTTTCCTTCTTGCTGCTCTGTTTCTCACTTCTCTCCTCTTTGTCTCCTGTTAATTTCACTTTCATACATTCCCTCTGCATTTTGCGTTTTCCCCATCCGTTTTCCATTAACCCATTCTGAATCGATGCCATGCGCCGCCAAAAGGCGAAGACTTGGAAAGGAATGACGGTTCGTCTGAGAGACCTTACTTCATGAGTAAGGAGCTGCACGAGATCCTCTCCAAGTTCGGTAAGGTGGAGGATGAGTTTGACGGCGTCGAGGCGGCGGACGCTGCCAAACAAGCGGACCAGGTGAAAGTGGAGGAGGAAACGCCCCTCCAGCAGCAGGACGGGGAAGTCCAAATAAAACAGCAGCCTGTGCTGAGGGAGGAAAACGAGGAAAAGCAGCCTCTGGAGACCAGCACTGAGGACGAGAAGAAGGAGAAGGCGGAGGAGGAACAAGTCAGTCAGGCGGAAGACACTGAGAAAAAAGAAGAGCCAGCTGTGAAGGAAGTTCCAGCAAAGCAGGAAGTGAAAGCAGATGAAAAGGCAGAGGAGCAGACAGCTGCAGATGGGGAAGCTGAGGAAGTGAAGAAAGTGGAAGAAAAAGAGCAACACAAAGATGATAATCCTCCACCTGCACAACAGGAGTAGATGCAACAAAGCAAGGGAGGCTCACTAAACCTCAGACAGCAGAATAGAAGTTACGTCCCTCAGCTGTGTGATATGGACCTGTTAAATGTACAGCATTCAAGCTAAAGTGTACACGGCTTTGCTGAAAGAGCTGATGTTCCACCTGGAGAAGGCCAACCAGAGCGAAGGCTGAAGGAGGTCAAAAGCCCAGTGCATCTCTGTAGCTTGAAGAAAACACACACACACACACACACACACACACACACACACACACACACACACACACACACACACACACACACACACACACACACACACACACACACACACACTCCTTTGTGTTGGTTTTAGAACAGTGTTGGTTTTTCTATCGTGAAGGTCTGTAACACATAGTGCGTGCTGAACTCCATGCCTGATTACTGTCAGTGTTTGTCGTCTCGATCCCATTTGCCGGAAGCGCTACAGAACCGGAACCATGTTTACAGTCAGAGCAAACATCTCAATCAACAGTGAATCACTTTCACAGTTTACAGAAATACCAGCTGATGCCAAAACCGTTCACATTATTTGATACACTATGAATACTGGACCTTTTCTTTTTTCTTTTCTATTTTTTCTTGATATAAAAACTTGCATATATGCACTGGTGCGTGTTTATTATGTATCTTTTGGCTTCAGTCTTGCTGAGACTCACTCTGATGGGACTCCATATATTGTATCGCCACCTCCTTGCCTTGGTATTTTGGACTGGCGTTAAGTGCTGTGATTGTCCGGCCGTGATGCAGAAATCATGACCTCTCAGACTGTCCGGACCCCGACCCAACCTCCCACTTGTTTACAGACCCCTCTTCTTGCCTTGCTCTGTCCCTTCCCTGAATCTTTCCGTCTATTAAGTGCTGCATGATATTAACATGGCCTTTAGAATGCTTGCAACTAACATCTTAAGTGTCTGAAAGCTTTTGTACAACTACTTCTTCTTCTTGTCTGTCATTCTGTGAAAGCTGTAAGATGATATTTTTATCCCCCACTGAAATCACTGATGACATTCCATATTTATTGGGTGTAATTCCTGATTGCGAATACTCGTATTTAGTAATTGTAGTTCTGTTATGGGTAAACATGTGAAGGATGATTTGGGTTTAAATAGGTGAGTTTTTGGATCCGAGACAAAATGGTGAGTTTCTTTATCTACTAATGAAATGATTGACAATTTTACAGAAGTCCATTTAATTGTTTGTCATTTTTGATTTGTGACTCCCTCCAACAGAATACCAGGTGTATACATTCTGGACTTTGTGTGATTGTAATTTGTGAAAAAGTCTTTGAAATCCCTGAAAAAAACATTTGAAAATGAAGCGACTAAATAAATTATTTGAATCTAAATGTCCACTTCTTTTACCTGCTTACTTTGTCAGATGTTTATGTACCAGGATTACCCAATAATCCTGGCATATAAACAGGATTATAAAATAATCTTGCCCTTAAAACCCAATAGTTTGGGCTTTAATTTAAAAAAAAACAAAAAACACTACCAACTGTCTAGTAGGATGGCGACAGCATGATTCTGAGGGTGGGTTTCACTGACAGTCAGATACAAACGCCAGACAGTATTCAAAAAGGACAGTGTAATGAAAAAGCTGGTCTACTTCTTAATTCTTCGACTTCACCTCAAATACAAATCACCTGGCTTTTGGGTGCATAGATGGGCGCTAACAACACGCTTCTGGAGAGAAATTTCCAAAAAGGCAGTGATGAAGAATTGATGGAATATTCTGAAAAGCTACCCTGTGAGAGGAAACCAAACTATTTAAATGGATTTTGCTATCCATTCTGCAAAATGTTCAGCTAAAAGCTCAGAGAAGAGGGAAAGTTTCACCAGATATTGACTCATGAATAGTTCTGTGTCTTTCTGCATAAATTGGGGAAATTTATGCAGAAATCACAATAAATTCCCACTTGCACTCTCAATTCTCTTTTCAAAAATCTTCATTCACTAGTTGTGGGTTAAACCCATTTTTGATTGCTAAACTCCCTTCATTTTTTATTGCATAGATTCAATGAGATGTCAGAAATATTCCTCAAGAAATGTGGTCTGTGTTGACCTCCTCACTCATGATCAGATCTGTTCTGCAACACCCCAAAGTTGCCATATTGGATTGGTATGTGGCGACTGTGGAGCCTCTGGAGCACAGGGATATCATTGCTATGTTATTGAATTAAGCTGTGTGACACGATGCTTTATCAAGCTGGAAGTTTCCATCAGACGGTGGGCGGTCATAAAGTGATGGACATGGTCAGTAACAACACTGAGGGGTGTAGGATTTACACTACAATGACAATTCTTTTATTGGTCAAGAGTCAATAGATGCCCTTTCTGTCCCATCTGGATCCTCGGCAAGTCGTCTTCCCCACTTTCAGATTGCCAAAATGCACTGAGTTAAAACACACATGACACTGTAAGCCCGAAATGAATAGGAATACATTAACTTCTAATCAAAACTGAAGGTTAAATTAGAATCGGTGACAGAAAACATTTTTAACGTCTACTTGTGTTTGTCACAGTGGAAGACCTGGAACGCAATGATGGATCATCCGAGAGGCCCTACTTCATGTCACAAAATCTCCTCAATGTCATAAAAAAGTCCAATGACACATCCAAATCTGTTGATTGAATCCCTATGTGGGTGTGTCTGTGAATGTGCAGATAAATGACTGTGCCATTTCATTGGATGCCTGTACAGTATTTTTGTGTCTAGATATAAACGAGGAGATGTTTTTTTTCCTTTTAACATGTTGAAAACTTCCATCTGTTGATGAGAAATTGTCAACACAGGCAACTTGAAGTAAATAAGTTTGGGAATTACGTTGGCTAATTTAAGTGCAAAAGAATCCTGAAAGGCCGTGTTTTATAAATAATGTCATATGTTTTATTCTAACTTTTCTGTTAATTTTATTCTGACATTCAGATAGGATGGAAAGCTTTATAAGTCATAGAAAACTTTAGACTTACAAGCTTAACCAAATAAATTGCACTGTTTCAAATTTACTCACCAAAGTGGTAGAAAAGCCATTGAGAAATTATCAATAGCCCAAGTGCCTTAAGCTTGATACTACACCTATTTTATATATATATATATATATATATATATATATAATATATATATATATATATATATATATATATATATATATATATATTTGTTTTGAATGTTTCACTGACTAACATTTTCATTGTAATAATTTTGAGTTTAAGATTTTACATTGCCTGATAAATTGATGATAAATGTTTGTGTTTTCATTGTAAGTTTTGGAAATGGAATAGAAATCTCTCCTGTCTGTAAGATTTGCAAGATTGTTTATTCATAAGCAATTGTCAAGCTTATATATTTTTTGGTTTGCTTGTCTTTTTTTATTCATCAGAAAAAATGTTAAATTGTGAAACTGTGCTTGTTTTGTTGGGTGGAAAACTGTATACAAATTGTTCCTATTAAAATTCCTGAAACCTGAAAACATAAAGTTGTTTGGAGGCAAATCATTTACAAAGAGGTTCTAAACAGCTCATTTGGTGTTGGCTCCATTATTTTTTTTTTAATAATGGAAATCAAAAGAGGACCTACTTGTAATATGTGTTATCATTATTTATCTTAACATTTCAACTTTACCAGAGCCTTTTTTTTTTTTTTTTGGTTTCATATTAGGCAGTTGGTTGTATAAAGAACCATCATAAACACGAATAATGTCTTATTCCTGCTGTTGAGCATAGATTGAGTATTTCTGGAGGAAAATATAAAACAATACAATGTTCTGGTTCTATATTGATCTTAGTAAAGAGGAGGCCATCCCTTGTCCTTTTTTGTTTTACAACAAAATTTACAGGTAAGTAGGTAAGTATATCCATAGTTTTACATTTTCTGAACCAACATCCAGAATGACAGTATTCAATGCCAATATCTCTTAATGCGAGGCCCCAAAACGTTTTGCCTTGAATTTCAATTGTAACCCGCCGATGATATATTTTATTTGGAGCCTGCAGTTACTTTTGTGCTGGTTGCTGGGATTTTGTCGCACATGTTCTGTTTAAATAAAGTTTGGGGAGATGAAAAAAAAAAAGGAGCGCGGTCTTCGTTTACACGTTGCTAAGCAACGGCACAGCCCCCTGAAGCCGCTTCGAGTTGAGAAAACTCCCACCGTTTTTACTAACTAGGTCCAAAAGTAGCGTTCAAAAATGTTGTCTTTTGGTCCAAACGTGAGGCTGTCACTGCAGGAACAGAAAGCGGAGCTTCAAGATAAAATTCAGTTGCTCGGTAGGTTTGTGACTTCACTGTCTCGCGGTTTGGGGTTTTCGGCTGTTTCCATGTTTGTTGTTGTTGTTGTTGTTGTTGTTGTTTTGGGTGGGGGTTGTTGGGGCGGCTACTCACTTTGCTGCTAGCTAACATTGGTGTCTTACTTTTAACGGGCGGAGTTTTAGGCCAACTTAAAACGTGCTTACGTTTCTTTGTTGCTGCAATGACTAAATGTGTCCACTAGAGTGCGAGGGGACTGCATTTTATGAGCGTTCTCAGTCCGTTATCAAGAAGAACCATGAGATCATCCTCCAACTGAGGCCGGCGAACCAGAAGCTGCACAAAGAACTGGCACAGGTCATCCTTTCACTCAGATCTATCTTATTTAGCGGCCTTAATCAAACATAAACGCATTATGTTGTGCCACTGACAGACTAAATCTGAATAAATGATCAGTTTTTGTTTTATTTCTTGATGTAATTTGTGCTTAGTTTCTATCTTAGTTGTCCAGAAGTGCAATGTCAGCCATTTGATTTAAGTTTTATTGGCCGATCAATACAGGGAGCTCAGCAAGCATCTGGAAGAAGTTGCTAGGCTAAAGCTGAACTTTTTGACAGTGTGCAAAAGGAAAATGAAGTTATTCTGAACATCACATCCCGAGCATGAAACAGTGGCAGCAAAAGACTTTAGACTGACATGGTGGTGACCAAATAGCCACAGCTGCATTGTCATTTTTTCAGATTAAAGCATATTCATGTGTCAGAACTAATAGACCTCGACAAAGTTGAAACCCAAACCCAATCTGTGGACAGACTTGAAAGTGGATGTCTGCAGACGCTCTCGGCTCACCCTGATTGAGCTCGAGCTATCTTGCAAAAGAGATGTTGAACAACTTTTACATGTCTGTTGCTGGCTCAGCCATACTGTAATGAGACTTGCTGCAGCAAACTGTATTAAGATCGTTCTACAAAGTGTTTTGTATTTCGCTCATGTGAATTTGCGCAGTATGTGATTATAACTAGTTCAAGAAGTATGAATGCTTGTGCAAATGTATAAAATGCTAATAAGAAATGTAAACAAATTTGTGTGTTTCAAATTAGGTTAATCAACACAACTTGTCAAAAGAGGTGAGAGACAAACTTTTTATGTTACTAATAAATATGCTTGACAGGTGATATTCATGGTCTCAAAAACATTTTTGAGCTGTTAAGTGTTTTAAATTGTGCGTTGTATTTGCCCGTCAAAAACTGCTCTTTCTTTTCCCTCAGAAAGCAGTTTCAAAACTAGAGCAAGAGCTGATGTACCGAAGAAGACGCCTCGATGCTCTAACCCACACCACCCTAAACTACCAGCAGCGGCTTGATGAGCTTAGGGTTGAAGAAGAGAGAAAGATCCAGGAGCTCACCAAAACAACTACGGCTGGTGTAGCTGCGGAGTTTGAGAAAGAGGAAGATGCAATGGTAGTTTACCCGCTGATCTCTAAAAATGTGTCAAGCTTTAAGCACTAACTAGCGGTGGTAATCAACTGAACCAGCTAACATTTGTCATGTTCTTTGCAATATTCATTTTGAATTCACTGACATCGCAGCTACTGCATATTAACAATAAACCCTTTAGATCTACTAGCAGGATTGTTACTTGTTTGTGGGCATCTCCTCAGCATTTTCGTATGCTGGAGAATCGTCTGGATAAATTTCAATTCAAGTTCAAGGAGGCTGAAAAATGCAGGATGATCAACGTGAAGCTCAAGACACAGATGCAGGTCGGTAGACGATGCGCCTTCTTAACGACACACTTTCTGTTTTGCCCTATTATTTACGTGCAGTTGGTCATTTTTGACAGTGATCCATATTAACTGGAAAAGGCACTGTAGGGAAAAAATCTGTGCAACCAACCTGACACTACATGAGAAAGTGAATGCACCCTTGTAACGTAAATGCATAGCAACAAAAATACCACTCTGGAGTTCACACTATGACCAGGGAAGTGAGGCCTGCAGTTCTTGAGATATTCTTGGTTCCTTTGTTGTCTGGTGGATACATCACCTGTGACCTTGTTTCTCATTTATTCACAAATTTCTTGCAATCAGAATATTTACTCACACTCTAAGATATTTTAGCCTACTTCATGTTTCCAACCAGGTTCTTGTAGAAATAAGGGATTTCTTGTTTCTATGAGTCAAGTATTAATCTGTTCAAATTGAGTCAGGTAAACACATTAATTCATAATTTAATGAGGACAGGATTTAACAAAGGGCCATGTTGGTTTTAATAGCTTTTTTCCAAATGAATGAGATCATTATTTAAAGGTGGCATTTTGTATTTTTTCTGGTTCTTATATGGTATCAAACATATGTGCTCTGGAACACCTCAGTGTGAGAAAACAACAGAAACATAGGAAACCTATAGGGTGCGACAAATACTCCCTTATGAGTTACCTGCTTGACAGCAAGCTCATTCGTTCATTGTTTGGTCTGGGGTTCATGTTTGTTAAGACTTTAATCATCGGAACAAAGGACGGGTTATGTGCCGTTCTGGAGAGCAAAGAGGTGCTTTAATGTAGGACTATTTACTTAAGGTGAAAGACCACAGTTGTACAGTACTTTCTGACCCAGTTTGTTGATTATCTGTCTTAATAATAAAAATTCACAGTCACCACAGTAACACCGTGTTCTGTAAATAATACCATCTACAGTCCCTGAGCTGCTTTGTCAGCACTACAATACACGAGGAGCTGATACGTCCAGAGTAGGGAGGCTGAATTCCTGCGCTCGAAATGAACTCTAACACATTGTTTAATGCCAATAAGATGTTTCATCGTCTTTTCTAACCAAACTTCTAACTTCAAGCTTTTAATTTCCTGTCCGGTGTTTGGGAATGTTCCTTCAATATTTCCACATTATGTTCTTTTCTCAGGATCCCGTTTATTTTATGAAGTGCACCAGTCCCTCACAAAGCCAAGCATTTCTCTTATATTTTCTCATGATAGCAAACAAGGAAGCTGAATGTTTGAAGTATTTTCCTAAGATGCATCCACTGGATGCATCTTAGATCAGATCAATCAGAAGCAAATCCAGGATCATATGGGCTTCTGAGCTGAAGAAATTTAAAAAGTTCTCCAATAACTGATTTCTAATCTGGCTTTTAGCAAACTTTAGCAGTCTTAGCTGACCTAAAACAGGCACGATACAGTCTGATTTAATATCAGACAGTGAGAGACAAACACTTTTACATTTTCTTGTTGTTGTTGTTGTTTTTCAGAATGATCCATCACATACTGGGCTTGTTCTTATAACAAACCAGATGCTTTTTAATCTTTATCACAGAGGACGTTGAGCTTTAAGTTTACCAAAGCCATAGTAATTTAAGCTCTTCCTCAGCTGTGTTAATATTTCAGTGATATTGTAACTAGTTCAAACAAACTGAGGTACAAAACCACTAAGCTATTTTTTTTAAATCTAAGAGTGTTGTTGTTGAGGATTTAACTTGACATGGTATGATTTCAGAATGACGTATGTTTTTCATATGATACCCTCCTTTCTTGCACTTTGTTGTTTCATGTGCCCTTTCCATTTCAACCAACAAGGATGCGTTTCGGAGTTACGGAGCACAGATCGACAATTTAGAAAGAGAATTGCTGAAGTACAAACATGAGTTTCACAACCTGGAGGCCCTGAATATGGAGGCTTACCTCTCAAAAACAGCTGCTGAGGTGAAACCACCGAACGTTTCTGAAAAGATATTAATATATTATTCTCTCTTTGTCCAAAATTTGTTTTCCACCTGTTTAAGAGTGATGATTTTCTAATATTCATCAACGTCAGATAAATTCATTTATGTCTGCTCATTCATGACACATTTTTGCCATGTTGAACTATTTTATTAACTCGCTGGTCCTTCTGGCTTTTGATCCTTTTAACCATGTCATGTGTCTCTGTCTGGTGTTCATCAGGCTGAGTTACACCAGCTGGAGGAACAGCTGTCGAAAGAACAAAAGGAGAGAGAAAGTAACATAGCAAGGTTAAGGCAGAAAGTTGATCAGCGCAAGGTTCAGGCTGACAAGCCTGACAAAAAGGTGAGATGTAAATATTCTTTACCTTGGGAGAATGGTCCTATCAAAAGCCAGACACTGATTTAGATTTAGATGCAAATAAGCTTAGGATATACATTTTTAAAAAGTTACTTGTCATCTAAGGACAAGTGATTTTGGTTTGTCAGCACTAAGGCTGAAGCAATTAATCAAATTAATTGTGATGAATCAATTATTGAAATGATTTAGTAATCAATTAACGGAGCATGCAGGTTAAAAAAAAGGCCATTTCCTGAAAGAACAACATCCTCAGACCTGCAATTAAACCAAAACTTTACAGAAAATATATGCATTTAGCATTTACAATAAAAAAAACCCCAACATATTCTACCCAGAATTCCTCAAGTGGCATTTTTAGCCTCACTCGATTTAAATTCTGTAAAAAAAAAAAAAACAAAACTCCTATTAACCACCTCATGATATTCTATTACTAATTGGTTAATCGACAGATTAGTATTACCCTGTGCTGATGTTGAGCCAAGAAGAAGAGGTTGAGCTTTTCACATGTTGTTGGAATAATTTTTTTTAACCTGCAGAAGCGTCCTTTGCTACAAATAATCAAGCGTACACTAAAGGAACACTATGTTATTGCGTTTTAGGTAATAAAATGTTTATTTTCTTATTTAAAAACACATTTAAATATTTGTCTATTTACCTATTTTAATATCTGTATTGATCCTGGTTTTCTGCAGGCACAGAGAACTGTTCTGGAGGAAGATGGGTTGGATAGCGAGGCCGAGCAAAGCACCAGAATCGTTCCTGAAGAAGAGAAAGTCAACCCCATCTTTGAGGAGATCTTGAAGAACCTCAAGGAAGCCACTGGAGTCTCAGATTTGCAGGTATAAATGTTAAAGAGAAAACAAACAAACAAAAAAAACACTGTAAGCCTGACAAAAAACAGATTCATGCATGCTATTTACTTAATCTTCCATGTCATCCACGCAGAACGTTGTGGAGCATTTTACCTCAGAGAAGGAGAATTGTGAACGTTTAGAGAATCTAAAGAAAGAGAATGAAGAAGCCCTGGAGAAGCTGAAGGAGGAGAAGGAGCTGCTTAGCCAAGAGTTTGATAAAAGAAAATTCTCTGGGGAGGCTAAGCTGTCCAGGTGCAACCGATTCAACAGAGATCACTCACCTTGTTCATGTTTCTCCTCGTGTAAACGACATGTGCTGAAAGACTTTAAGTGGTCCTCTGTTTTGTTATTAGTGAGATACAGAAGTTGGAGGAGTGTGAGCAGCAGCTGCAGGTCCAGCTACAGAAACGTGATGCAGACGCAGAGCGCCTGGCCAATAATGTGAAGGCCCTCGGCGCCATCAGGGCCGGAGTTGAGCACCTGGCAGGGAAACTGCAGGACATCTCTCTTGTAAATCCCACTCAAGTTTTACATCAACCTTTCGGCGAACGGTGCAATTCATTTTTTTTCTGATTTTGTGCCTCTGCCAGGCGAAGGAAAAACCTTTCAAATACCCCCCAACTTCAGATGATTTTGTGCTGGAGCTTTTGAACCAGTGTGACAAGAAACTGCAGCTCTTACTAGAGGAACTTGAAGGGAAGGACATGGCCTCTGTCATGAAGGAGATAGAAGAGGATGAGGTAAGTGTACGACGACGTCACAGAAATATTTGGCACTTGGGAAACCACTTTTCCCAGTACGAAAATAAACCTTCAGACTGTTTAAGACAAATCTGTCTGGGAGGAAAATCAGATTAGGTAATGACAAAATTTGATTAGAGCTGCTGATGATGATGCACCGTTGAATCACTGAGGTCTGACTGGTTAGTTTGCCTAAGCTTCCAATTCAGGGACCAAGTTTAATATCAAGATTCATTAAACTAGAAGCTTTTTAGTTATTAGCGTTTACACCGTCACATGCGGCTTTTTTCGGAGGCATTCCTTAGTATCTGTGCCTAAGTTACAAGCTCATGGTTCCAGAACAGTTTTGTTGTTTTATTCGGTTATAATCAACAATATAGCCACAACAGCGTCGGCACTGGCCCAATAAGTAAATCTGTGTTGATATTAACAACACATGCTTATTTCCGTTTTGTCACCATTCGTGTTTCAGGAAGGGCATGGGATGAGGTCGGCCATGTTTATTTACCCTGTTATGTGACAGTGATTGTGATGCAGCCGTCTGGGTGGCTTTTACATGGTGTCAGAAATGTAGAGAAATATGTGCAATATATATGATATAGGCAGTAATAGTTTCAGTTATTGGATTTAGCTCAAATCTAAGACGGGGTAGATTCATATAATTTATCAGATCATAAGATAGAAAGTTTACTGTATCTTTCTATCTACAGTCTGAAAAGATTGAAACTCAGGAAAACGTGCTTGTATATTTTTTTTCTACCGAGCAGTTCTACACCACGATTGAAGGGAGGCTTCCCAAGACCAACACCAAAGTGAGAGTGCCACACAAACCAGTAAAGGAAATCGGCAAAGAAGGTGGGTTGTAACAATCCGCACCACCACACATACACACACAAACACGCAGGCCGTGCAAATGTCTCTTTGTGTCTATGCTTGTGTCACAGAGGGGGAAATGAAAGAAGATGAGATGGATATCATAACACGAGATGCCCTGAAGCGTCAGTCTCATCTCATCATTGAATCCAACTTGAGCAAAAAGCCTTGGAAAAAATAAGTCCTGATCCAAAGCAACAAGAGTAACACAAAGTGTTGCCCGACTGTGAAGTAGAAGGGAAATGACATGTGGTGGGACTGTTTTTCCAAATAAAAATGTGAGAAATGGCGTACTCAGAAGAATATTCTCCACTCAGATCAGACTGCATGCATAATTATTTTATGTAAAGGAAAACCAGCACTGTACTTCACCCCTAACACACAATCCTCACAATGCAATGTGAGATGCATTGGGATGAGGGTCATAATCATCATATTCAGCAGGGGCCGAGAAGCTTCTAATGTAGCTATACATGGCAATCCTCCAAACCTTCTAGCAGGTAAACGATAGTTATAGTGACAGTATTTTTGAAACAAATTAAACAAAGTATTGCTTTTATTAATGAGGTATCCTTGAATATCCCATGGAAACCATTTTGTTTGCAGAAACGTGTGGTTTCACAAAGCCCAGCCTTTTCCTTGAAGCTCCTCCCCGAAAACACACTTTCCATCTGAGTTTTCGCCTCAAAAAGCACCGCTCCCCCACAACTACTCCAGATTCTGCTGAGCTTATCTGAGAAACTACTCCTAAGTGAAGCAATGGGAAAAATGGTAAAGACTTAATGGAGACGGCGCTAAAGGAGGCATGATGGAAAGAGCGAGAGCTTGTTAAAGAGACAGTGGCACAATTTCAAGACGTTAAATTCCAAAGTCAAATTTCTTTCAAGTCATGTTTGATTTACAACTGAAGGCAGCATAGTTATTTGGCTGTGCTATAAAATGGCACTATGTGCACGGAAAATATATAATACTGCCCCTTTAACAAACAACCAAAGATGCAATAGAATCCTTAATATCCATTGTAAATCTATTGTAAGACTTGTGTTCACAAACTCTCCACATCTAATCTGTCTGACCCTGAGCTATTTCACAAAGAAAAATAGACAGAAATTTTTCAAATAGAATTTCTGTCTATTTGTCTTTTGGGCTAAAGACATAACTCATAACATAACATAAAGATTTATGTCTATATTTGCAGCAAAGGTGGCTGTACAAAATATAGTATTTACTTGGAGTTGCTGAATACAAATGCATGCCACATTTTTAACATTTTTATTATGGTTAAAAAAAATTCCAGCTGTGCACTAATTTGTGCGGGTCTATTATCACATTAAATCCCAGTAAATAGCATTGGAGTTTGTGGTTGTAACATAAAAACAAAGGAAAAATTTCAGGAGTTCAAATGTTTTTGTGACAATTCAATGTGTTAAAAATGCCTCAGTTTCTATAAATACTAAAAAATCTAGCAAAAATGATTAATATCTCATTGTACATGTTGCATTGTCACCGAAAATTATCGGTTGTTAGACGTTCCTTGTTAAATGATCCGTGTGTGTGTGTGTGTGTGTGTGTTCTCGTGTCAGCTTTGTTTTGACAACAGCCGTGTGCTGCTGAGGGTGTTGCACCAACACAGATATTTCCACCTATCACCAGGCAACATTTCAGCCGCTGCCTCCTGGGAGTCAACGACAGAAGGTTGATCCGACTTACGGATCCTTTCACGGTGAATAGAGTCAAGTTCTGAGGAAGTTTTTGTCCTCTTTCTTTTTGCTTCTAGTGACTGAAACCAGTTCATTGTAAAAACACGAGGTTTCAAATTGCAGACATCATGCCCCAGAGCCACGAAAACCTAAACCTATGACATATTCAGACTCTCTTCATCATTAGGATGAATCAGAACCCGCTGGTATACGGTGCATGGTTACATGCAACACGCTAAGCACGTCAGGCACAGTTCTGCAGCTTCATTCAGAGACTTTCAAGAGCCAGCTCTTGAATGTCAGCCGCTCACCTTTGTTCTCTGACCTCTCAAATGTCTGCCCTATGCCAGAGGGAATTTCTGTTTTTAGTTGCAAAGCGAACGTCTTACGCGCAGTTCTCTTTGTCAGTGTGTGTCTGTGACGTCAAGAAGGTGACAATAAAGCAGCTGTGACGTAATGTTTGCTCCAGTTCTGTTCTTTCTTTTCTAAAATTAGTTTCTCCAGAGAGTTTGTATTTCGTTCATCGTTTGTGTACTCTTTGTTTGATCCTGCGTTCGTCCAGGCTGGTAAAAGGTAATCCAAGCTACTCCTAGGCCTTGTGAAGGGATGTTAGCTGTATTAATTTAATAATGAGGTCTATGGCACTATGTGCACGGAAAATATATAATACTGCCCTTTAACAAACAACCAAAGATGCAATAGAATCCTTTATATCCATTGTAAATTTGGATTAGGTGTATTCATTTATGAATACACACAATTCATAAATGAATTATTAATTAATAAAGACACTTACTGGTTTATGCTTTCAGCATATAATTAACACAAATTGTGATCAAATATTTGCACGTTCAGTCATTTCATGTTTCAACTTTTAAATAGCTATTTTATGTAATGTTCACATTTCCAATCTATTTTTCCGATGAACATCACATTTATGCATATTTAGCTAATCGTCTATTTATGTTTTGAAATGTAAGTTTATTCACTTACAGGAAAGTACTGCCCAGAACAGTGAAATATGTATTCATATCATAATAAATACAGCCCCTACTTAAAAGTTTGCCAAGTTCCTTTTTGAAATTGTGTTTTGAAATTTGATTGGACATTTAAATGTAATTATTATTGTCCTGATATTATTTAAATGATCATGTGTAAATATTTATTTCATAAATGATTAATTTATTTGCTTAATTGTGGCACTTTTGAAATTGAGGATAGGCAAATTCTAACAATTACGCTAATAAGGAAAAAAACAAAGATTGGGCCTTAAAAAAACTAAATTAAATATTCAGAATATAAACGACACAAGTGCATATAAATAAACGAGGATATCAGTAAAGGACACTTTATTCTAGTAATTTTAATTAGAAAATTAATCTTCCCCAAACCATCTTTTGCGGACCACAGTGAATAAAGCTTTTCAGGTTTCACGTTACAAACTGAAAATCCCTAAAATAAAAGTTTTGACGATATTCCCATTTATTGAGATGCACCTGTTACCCAAAACGACGCCATCTTTGACAGGGCGCCCATCCATCCATCCATGGTGAAGGTCACGTGCGACATGTCATGCTGTTTCTGATCAGCCAATCAGAGGGCAGAGGGGGAGTTCCCGACCTTCCTGTCTCACAGTTTGAAACGTGTTGCGTGTGCGCGCGCGAGTGCGTGCGTGTGAGCTGCTTCATCCAAATGGCCCGCAAACAGGTTTTCAGACACGTTTAAGCGACCTGTTCGGGTTTCAGCCCTAATGCTCCGACTGTCATGAGTTGTCATCGAGACACACCTGTCCGTCACTGCGTCAGGTGAGACATTCAGTTATTTAAAATCACGACCGAGCTGTTTTCCACTCCACTCATAGTAAAACAACAGTGTTTCTAAGATTTTTTTGTTTGTTTTTTTCGTTTCGTTTCGTTTGGTTTTTTTACGCATGACTTTAGTGAAAACGAGGGCAGCGAGTTTGTGCATTGTTTTCGCGAGCAGAGCGTTGAGCTGGAATGATTTGATTTGATAAAGCAGCAATTTTACACATAACAGAGGAGGCTGCGGCTGAACAAGGAGGAGGCCTTTAGCACGGACTCATGCGCGGGGCATCATCCACCCACTGACTCAGAGAACAATCAGCCCTCAGAGATAAATGCCAGATTCTCTTCCTCCGAGCTCCACTATTGTTTCTTCGTGGCTGAAGACGCGGAGACCCGAACGTGGACAAGCAGACAAAAGGAGCCGGGATAGAGTTAAGTAAATGCATGTTTTCTGTGTGTGTGTATCTGTACTCCTTCTTACTCGGATTTATTCCTTTATTTTCCATTTTATTTTTGTGATGATGCTCAGTGTTATTTATGCATTATATCTGCCACGGCTGGTGCTGAAAATGATTTTTGATGACTTACATAGCAATCAAGAGCTTGGATTAAGTGGCCATTACTTCCACTGTTTTTGTAATTATGGCAACAAAAACTGAATATAACCTAGTGTGTGAATTAGACTATAATTAAAAGGTAGTTCATTTGTTTCACCATTTGAAAAGGAAACTTTATACTGATTCTTTTTTCATACGTTTCAGGCATTTATTTATTTTTATTTAGATCCAGATTTGCTCTGGATCTAAATAAAATCCACAAAATTCACCGCAAAATCCACAAAATCTTACCAAGTATTTTTGGTCTAGTTTCTAGTGCTGATATCTTAACACGCTTGATATAAGACAAAACTAACGTATGTCTAAATAGGAGCTTATTTTAAGTAAGTAAATCCTTAATATTGATGAAGTACTGGTTCTATTGGAAGGTTATTTCACCTGCATAACCAGGCAAAACTGCCTTGTTATAAGTGATATGATATAAACTCTGGTTGGTGAGCAGTGACAGGTTTCTATGATTTTATGCTGACATTGCAGATGTTGGCTCATTCACTGACATGTTTTCCTCCTAAGAGCAGATCATAGCTAAATATGTGGCTGTTTTCAAATGCTTGCAGACTCTAATATCGCTCTGACTGGCTGAAATAAGACGAGTACAGCCGTTTTCACGCTTTCCTCCCAAACACAGATGAGGCAGCAGGTGTAGGAGATCTCCAGTGAGCGGTGTGTGGGCCTGTGAGCGTGACCGACTCAAACCGGGAAATGAGGACCACTCTTCCTTTGTGCGGAGGCGATGATGAAGCCTGTGGTCATCAGCGAAGCATTAGCAGGGTGGGCTGGATGAAGAGGCTGCTGTGGCTCAGGTCCAACCACTGCGGGGGCATCCACATGGACACGGAGCCCGGAGTGTGGCTCAGGAGCTTCCAGCTGCTGGACACGGAGGGCCAACATGAGGTAAGGCTCTATAAAGATAGTCTCGTTTGAAACAGAGCATTATAGCTGGCTTCTTGACTGAGATACTTTGGATGGGGAATAGTTCAAGGCAAAGTATCATCATATCTTCTCTCCTAACCTTGGTTTTTATCTAACCCAGATTTGTACTCTCACGGACAGGCTGAGAGGGTCGTGAGTTTGGTTGTGTGTTTTGTGGACTTGGAAAAAGCTCAAGGTTGTTTTTGAGGAGGCATAGCTGGAGCAAAGCAGGGGTGCTTTAAATGGTAATCGGGTCCATTTATGCCAAATCCAAGAGCTGTGTCCACAAAAAGCCAACTTGTTCCCAGTGCAGGTTGGCTTCTGCCAAGACAGAGGTAGAAATGAGAAAGGATTGTTTGAGAACCTCAGGATTGTTTGGGAACCTCAGGATTGTTTGGAAACCTCAAGATTTTACAAGATAATGTGATTCTTAAAGGTTGGCAACTTTAAGGATTGAGCTTTCACGTGCACCAGCTGGAATGGGAGACGGATCCATGAGGCCATGGTTCTTGTCCCTCAACATCTAAAGGCTCCAGTATGGGAATGTAAGAAGGATGCCTCTCATTAGAGGTTTTCCAGGCACGATACTCTGGACTAGTTGGGTCTGGAAAATGTGACTTAATTGCAATAGTATCTCTTAACTTTTCCTGATATTGTTTTGGCTCAGTCATATTTCCTTTCAGTAGACTAGACTAGAAGGAAAAATGACTGTAAATCATTCTGTAAATCAAATGTCTGAACTGTGGTTGTACCAAAAAGGCTGCCAGTTTTTATTTTTGTACCAAATGTAACCAGCTGGTGACGAATTAGTCAAGGTGAAAGAGAAGTGTAATACATGTTCTTTTCAAGTTTAACATAAAATAGAATAAAAATGTTTTTGCTATTCACCTGGGTTATTATGGGGGACAGCCAGTTTGTAGTGCAAATTCTTTCTTTTTTTTGTCTTGGGACTTCCATGGTTGCATCATTTCATATAGTTTCAGGAAACCAATAAGGAAACACAATGTAGAAGATGTTCCAGGAAGACAAATTGCTGTTTTGTTTCAGCTGAAGGAAATACAGATTTTTTTTCAAAAAAATTTATTATTATTATCATTACTATTTTATTATTTAGAGAACTTTAACCATTTCAGCTTCAAGATGAATGTTATAATGAAGAAGAAAATTAAATACAAAAAATAACCAGCACATTTATGACAAAGCGGTGGTTAATTGTTAATTGTTCTGACGTTTTGGTAACGTTGTACAACTTCAACAGCTTGTCTATGGATAAAACCAGGAGGGCATGGTGGAGGCTTCGCTCTAAAATCTGTCAACATCTCTTTGTTTTTTGAGAAGTGATTCTTCAGAAATGAACGGTCCTGGTCATCAAGCAGAGACGAAGGAGTTTGGTGTTTTTCTGCAGTCACGCTCCGGCTTCTTGGCCCGCCACCACATCAACCCTTCATGTGTGTAATTTGAACTAATTGACGTCTCTCCTGCCACTCTTTTGTTTGGCCTTTGTGAGTCGCTGAGGCTGGAGAAACGTGAGAGACAGAAACTCATTAGACAAACAAAATGCTCATTATTCATCTTTTGACTTAATGAGCAGCAGAACCCCGGCCCCGATTAAAGTTCTGCCGATGCTGTACAGGGATTTGCTTTTATCACGAGTACATCCACAAATCTGTGACGCAAGTGTTTACAATGTCATAAAAGGCACTAAATCTGAAAGTTTTCTCATGCCATCCGTGGTGTGTAACATGAGTATTTTTAGAATCAGAACCAACCTGTTTGACGAAGCACTTTGTCCTGAACTCTTAAGGTGACGGGCAGGAATGTCAACAAGACTCTGCTTAGCATCTTGCTATTTTTATTCAAGTTTTTCTTCTTACCCGGCAAAGTTGACCCACAGTCAACTTCTTTGATCCATTTGATTAATTATCATTTAGCTTTCGTTTATTTCTACGAATCATCTTCCTCTGAAGTTGTAAGACCAGCTTTGAGTCAATTTTTTTTTTTTTAGGTGAAATTGTTTTTATTTGTGCTTTTTGCCTCAGTCATCAAATGTTAGTATTATTTAGCTTTCTACTTGTATGTCGATGATTTCTTTTTTACTTTTAAGTTTTTACAAATAAACAAGTGAAACTAAGATCTCAGCTGGACAAATTAACAACATGTAAGAGTTAGTGAAGTCCGTCACTTCTAAGATAGGGTTTGAGGTTGCTTACTATGGGATAAATAACAAGTATTAATGTTTTAAATAACTTTAAAGTTTAAAATCTGTTTCATATTTTGTCTCTTTAGGTTTTGTTCCTGGGTTTAAATGACCAGTTATTATCTTAGCATGAAGACAGTAAAAGTTATTTTTACTCTTGGAAAGTTGAAAGTTTAATGACTGATCCAAAGACAATTCAACAAACAGAATCGATACCAATCAGTGAGAATACAACAAACCAATGCGAGCGTTTGTCACCGCTGTTGTAAAATCTATGCACATGATTTACAGTCCACTAGATGCATCATAGAAACCCAGCTGAATGATTTTAGCTTGTAAACAAAGTTAATCGCCACACTTCCCATTTTCAGTGACATTTTCAGTATCTATATATCTCAGCAGGAGGGTGACGCTGTGTTTATGTCCAGCAGACATCCTGCAAGCCGCTGTAAGCATGGTTTGCTATGGGTTTCTTTTTCAGTAAATGGACTAAAAAGTGGAAGTGCAGAATGTGAAATATTTTAGATAGTTTTGTTTTGCTTCTATTTTTCACAGATTTGGGGAAGTGGGGAATTCACAGCGTAGTTACTGAATTTAATGCAGTCAATCAAATGTTTAATGTCGTAATTACTGTGGATGCACAGAGTGTATGATAATTCTTATTTTGCCCTAATTTTCAGTGTGTTTTGGGTCACGGCTAGAACACGTCCAACATGCCAGACTTTAATGCAGAAAGGTTCTTGACTCTATTCTGAACTCCCTTTAGATGGAGGTTTTCACTCTAAACTCAGACGTTTAATGGTTTCAATTTTAATGGAGTGAACAAATAGTTAGCCGTCTTAAGTGACGACTAAATAATGTTTCCTGAAAAGTCAGGGTGAGATTTAAAGAAGACATGCAACTGTGGCTCCTTTCCAGGCATTTTTATTTTGGGTTTTTGAACATGGAGTAGCCACTGAGCAGTATGTGTTATATTCCAGTGAAATCGGTTTTAAAAGTTGAACGAATTTATAGATTTTTGCTTTATTCCTCATCCAAAACTGACGTTTGAACAATTGAGGGGATTTACACAGTTATTTCTGGTACTTCAACTTCTATTATCAGGTTGCTGTCAGCATAACAACAATCCTCCAAACAATGCCAGCTGCGTCAGTGTCAACCTCAGCACACCTGCTGTCATCTGCTCCTGACCGCTTATTGGTCAGCCTCCACTGGCCCCGCCCACACCTGCTTCCTGGCTCCGCCCACCTCCCCATTCACTCGTTGGGTCGGACTTCTTCCTCCTCAGTGTCTCGCTGCTTCACGAGGAGTTCAACCGGTTGAATCATTTTGAACATTTTCGCGAGTTTTGATAACATGGGTGTTTTACGTTTACTTCAAAGTCGAGTCCACAGTCGGAGAAAGCGGCTCTTCTCCTAACGACCCGCAGTTTAAGTTGAGATTCGGGAGCAAAACGCAGAAGGATTTATTCACCGCATCTCGTGTCAAAACATGGGAAAATGGCAATTATCGATGGTATGTAGATTTAACTTGACTTGTTTGACCTTTAACCCCGTTCACCTGGAATCTGAATTGTGTTTTTCATGTTCGTGTGAACCAGGAGTGTTTCTGTTGTCGTGCTGACAAATGCTTGCATGAACTTAACAGAGATATAAATCACCGGCGGACGCTCTGGTTGCAACTTGTTGCACACTTTGCTTCTCTTTTACATGTGCTAAAAGAAGACTTCATGCGCAACGACAGGTTGCCAACCAAGAGCTTGCTTTTTTTATTTGAATTATTTCACTTCATGGTCATCCTTAGGTTTTATTTAGTTAACGTTTGTTAGAAAATAATGCCTGATTTTGTGGGTTGTTCATTTGACGGGGAGCATAAAAATATCAACCTGTCTCACTGGAGATTATGTGTAGATGTGTTTTGAAACCACCAGTCTAAAATTGCAAGAATGCAAGAAAAAGGACTTAATGTTTCGTATTGTTGCAGTTTCAGCCTCAGATTTGAAAAAGTCCATTGGAGCCTCACATTGCAGCCACAAAATCACTTCAGAACATTTTCTGTGAATTTTTACGCCATTAATCAACATAAAGTAGAGATTTTCTAGAGTCACTTCAAACTGACTGTCTTTTTTTAGGGGTTTCCACTTAATACATTCCCACAGCATAATCCTGCCACCACCATGTTGAGAGGATCATGTGATGTGCAGTGAATGATGGCTTTGCAAGTTTTAATTTTGGTCCTGTCTAACCTTCTTCATACATTTAGTGTAACGGGTATAATGAAGTAGAGTTTGTGCAAGTTTTATTTTTAAGCAGTATTTGTGCTTGTAAGGCTCTTAAGTCTTACAAGAGCCTTACAAAATGCTCAGTTTCATTTTAACATCATTAATTGAAATTGATCAACAATAAATCCTTCTGCGTTTTTCTCCCGATTTATTGTCAAAAAGCCTTTGAGGAATTCTGAAATACTTAATGCCAATACATTTGATCAAATATTGTAATAATATGTCAAGGCCATGTGGTGTAATGTGAGATTGATCTTGTTTAATTAAGCTGATTCAGAGGAAATGAACAGATTCTAACATGGGGAATATAACGGTCTGTGTGTTTTAAAAACCTAAGCGGCGTCAATGAACCGTTGAGTCATTGGTTACTTTGCAGTTTCTGTGCTCTTGTAGTATTTAAAAGCTGCGTCAAGGAATGTTAAGAATAAAAATCATCCATGTACAGTTTCACCTGAGTCCATTTACAGGTACAACTCTAAAGCAGCTCCATGTTTATGGAAAATGTTTTTATTTTGTGCAAATTTTCCCTTAGCGTTAGTTTTGAATCAATTTACATTTAAAAAAAATGTTTTCTTTCCTGCAGGAACCAGTGCAGGAGTGGGGCGAGGAGGAGGAGGACGGGGCCATTTTTGGGATCACCCTTCGAAGGGAGCCCACCCCGCCGGGCTCGGACTCGGACTCCTCTGACCTCTCGCCGGCCTTCGGCTGCGTCCAGTACCACACGGTGAAGATCCGCAGGCTGAAGGCCGCCAGCTTGGAGCGCCTGGTGTCCCACCTGCTGGACGCAGAGCACCGGGAGCCCGACTTCATCCGGGTGTTCCTCTCCATGTACCGGGCCTTCACCTCCACCAGCGCCGTCATCGAACTGCTGTTTCAGAGGTGAGCTTGTGGGCTTTCACTGAACTGAGGCGGGTGCTAACAGAAATCATGAGGGCCCAGTCAGCCGCTCTCCCAGCCACCATATGAGCTCATTGTTGCTGCTTGATTTAGACTGATCTGTTTAACAGAAAACAGTCAGTGTGCAGGAGGGAAGAAAAAAACAATAATTTGACATTTTCTGCAATTCATCCTAATCCTGCATTGTTTGTGAATAACAATTTATTCATAAGCTGACTGGAAAAGTATGACATTTGATTACAGTATTTATCTAGCTAGGATAAGTACTGATGAAAAAAATAACTGAATTGGTAAAAAATAATTATAAAAAGTTGTTCAGGATTCCACCTTCACTTTCTCCATTGTTACGTTCTCTGTTCATAAATTTTTTTTAAACCTTTTATCATTATTTTCTTGAATTATACCACTTAGAAGATGCTGATACAGAGTTATCACACCAGTTACTTAAAGAAGCAGGATTAAAACACCTTACTAGTTGCATTCAATATTTTCAAATTCACTGATTTTGTGGAACAGATTATAGAGAAAAAAACTAAGAGTATTGTAACATACCGTCAGTTTCATTTTAACATCATTAATTGAAATTGATCAACAATAAGCGATACAGTATAGCCCTTATTTTCTTGCATCCTCCCTTCCTTCCTGATGTCCAGTCTTTCCTTGTGCTCTTCCTTAATTTTGCTTTCATTCACAATTTCTTGTGTTTTTCTTTCCTTTTTGTCCTTTATTCTTCTCTTACTTTTTTTGAAGGCTTCATAATGTATAAATCGATCTTGGTGGATTTTTAATACTTTATATTTTAATCAGGAATACAATTTTGAAATTTACGAATTGAGAAGCAGTCGTGCCATCGCAGATCCTCCTCTTATCCGGAGCAGTGACGCAGAGACGTTCGCTGTATTTGCTTTCAAACTTTTCTGACATTGATTTATTTTCCCAGCTTGTCCTAATTTTTCGGAAGGTCGTCACTGCCGTCAAACGTTAGCGCAGCGTCTGCGTCAGAACGGTTTACGACTGACCAGATGCACATATCGGTTTTCAACACAGACAGAAATTTAACAGCTTCCTCACGTCCCATCAGCTGTTTTCAGAACAAATCTCTGCCGGTTTCTATGGCAGGTTTTATCGTCACGAGGTAAACAAAGCTTCCTGAGCTTTGTTGCATTGTGAGCGCTTCATGACTACACCCTCCACGCCCAGCGACGTACCTGGTCTGATTTTTGATTTATGTATTTTTCCCTGCTGGAATGACTTCAGAAAGAGCACAGTACATTTTATCCTGAAGCGACTCCTAAAAGGCTTAAAAAGCCTTTGCGCCTCTTGCAAAGGTTTCAAGCAGCTGCTTGCTTTAATTGGTGCACTGATGGATTTATTGTTCGTCAGACAGCCGCCCTCATCGGAGCTGTGCTGGTGGCGGCAGGCTTCCTGTAGGCTTCAGTGGACGAGGTCGGGGCAAACTGGAAAAGGTGTTATCCCAACAGAATTTAATACAGGATGTTCCATTTCTATCACTATCATTAGATTATACAACTCTCCTGCTTACTCATCATTGGTGACAATTTTAAAGATGCATTTAAACTTTTTTTTTTTGGAGTGGATAAACAACTTTGTCCAGATTTCAACAGACTTGCTGCTGATTGAAGTTAAGTTTAAGAGTTTAGTCGTGGCACCTGGTTTTTATAAATTTCTTGTCTACAAAGCACAGGCGGTGAAATGGGCCCTCGTCATGATGCAGCTTCTGCCATGCTTGAGCATGGGTCCAGTGGTCTTGGGTTTGAAGGAGTCCTTTTTAGGTCAGGCATGTCTTTCTAGGTCAGTCCTGGCCTTTTGAAACCAGCTTCACTAGTCTTCCTGAAATGAAATCTTAAGGATTTCATTTCAGACATTTGGTCGGTGTTTCAATGAGAGAATGATCCTAAACAAACATCTAAGGTGGTTTTGGTGTACTGTGCCCGGCCACAACAAAGTTGCTGCTTGGATCTAACTGGGTAAATGGGTCAGATCCTCCTGTTGGGTAATTGCTGCATAAATAGTTATCTTTCAGCTGGCAACAACTTATCTAACTAACTCTGTGTTAAGAAGGGTCAAATAGTTGACCTCCAAGAGAAAAAAATCCTTTGAGTTGCAAGATCTGCTAAAATTGGGTTAAAACTGACCAAGGCTTTGTTTAAAAACTGGAAGTCAAGTGGAGAATCCTAAAACATCATGACTGGTGGTCATTAAACTGTGGTGAAAGCAAATAAAAGAGAAATAACAGAACGCAGGGCTGTTTTTAATAGAGAAAGAGCATTTCCACACATATAATGTGAAGAGAACTCAAGGATTTGGGACTAAACATCTGTGTGGCCTTAAGAAAACCACTAATCAGTAAAGTCTTAACTGGACAAAAGGCCTACAGTTTCCAAGGACTTGTGGAGATGGAAGACGGTCATGTGATTTGAGGTATCAAATTGATCTTCTTCCGGAGAGAGGGGTGCATCAGGGTGAGAAGAAGCACTCATCATGCCAGGAGTGTGAGCCTGTGCTCTTGGGCTGCTGTTGTTGTTGGTCAGGTCCATCATGAGGCCAGTCGACTACCTGACTAAACTAAATGACCAGGTCATATTGTGTTCAAGGAACAGGAGACGTCTCTTTCTCACATGGTTCGGCCACCAGAGTCCGAACCTGAAATGTCCGTGAACTCAAACCTTTTGAAAAACGTTTGTAATAAACATTTGCTCAAAGCTTGTGAACTAATATGTTTTAATGAGCTCCACTAGATCTTTTAAGAAGAAAAGTAAATCAACCCACTCCAAAGAACTTGTTGAAGTAACTTGTTTTGGGGGTCTTATCCAAATATGTGTCGTTAATGTATAAATTTGAGTCAGTATGAAAAATAATGGTTGAAAATCATTAATAAAATAGCAAAGTTTGTCATACAAGTGTGAAAGTCTGGTTGTCACCAAATATTATACTGTAGTTTCCCATAGGCTGTATATTTATCAGCAACATGAGCATCTGTTAGTTTTGACATTTTCAATCATTTATCAATACCATAAACATCAGGATCTTGTTGTAAAACTGCAGCTCAGTTTTTGATACGCAGACAACATGGAGCGATACTTTAGCTTTGCTGCACCTATGTTTTATGGCAGGGTTATAAATCCCGGAGAAAGACGGGTCTCTGTTTACTCTGTGCCAAGGCCAACATCTCTGTGGGGACGCAGGAGTGTTGCAGGACATTTCCACAGGATGGACGGTCTGGCTGTTCAGCTGTAGTTGTCTCTGTTGTTTACAGGATGATTTCTGTCACCACTTAGCTGCCATGTTTTTTTTAATTTTTCTTTTATCTGATGATGTCCTGATTTATAGTCCAGTTGATAAGTGGCACCATTTCCTTTTCCCTTTAGAGTCGAAGCGCTTGACAACTTGGACAACGCGGCCAGTTTGCACAGGTGAGTTTAGTCCCAGCTGTCATGGCTTCATCATCTCACCTGCTCAACAAGCAGCTGTGACTTAATTTCTAAGCTTTTCTTCGTCCCTCTGCTGCTCTTCAGTAGTGCTCTCCCGGTGGTGCGGCTATGGTTGGAGGAATACAGCACCGACTTCCAGGACCCGCCTCAGTACCAGGCCCTGAGGCTGCTGTGTTCCCACCTACGTCATCAACTCTGCTTCAGACGTTTGCTTCTGACTGCTGAGGCTTTGCTCAAGAGACTCCAGGAACAAGGTAGCGGCATGCGCAATTTAACAAAGAAAAAAAAAAAATCAGTCTTCTCACTTCACTCTCAACTCAACTTTGTGTCGATCCATCTCACAAAATCCTAATGAATACAGAGATTTGTGGTTGCAAAGAGACAAAATCCAGACAAGAATAAAGAGTAGGTTCTGCTGATCATTCATTTCTTTCATTCATGTTGTGTTTTGACAGACTGCAGCCGCTCTGTGTCAGAACACCTCAGTGCATCCCTGCAGCGCTGCAAACTCGGCGATGGAGGAGAAATGTCCTCTAAACCAGACAAGCACAACTTCCTGGACTTCCCAGTTAGAGAAGTAGCAGAGCAGCTCACCAGATTGGACGCCGTACGTAACATGCACACAAATGCACAGTCTTTGATGGAGTTTAATTGATGAATTAATCTTGTACGACTTCTCCCTTATGTCTTTACCAATCCTGCAGGAGCTGTTTGTGAAAGTGGAGCCGTTCCACTGCCTGGGCTGCATCTGGTCGCAGCGTGACAAAAAGGAAAACCGCAATCTGGCGCCGACGGTCCGAGCCACCATTTTCCAGTTCAACGCAGTGACGAACCGTGTCATCACTTCCCTCCTCTGCCCATCCTCGCCCAGCCCATACACTTCCTGCTCCATCTTGTCCCCTTCCTCGACCTCCACCTCTCTGTACCCGTCTTCGGCTCCCGGCTCGCCTCACGGCTCGCACGCCAGTCCGGTTCACAGGGCGCGCGTCATCGAGTGGTGGATCGCCGTCGCACAGGTCAGGATCCAGACAAATCGCCACAAGGTTCAACAACAAAAGTTTATGTTGACCTGCAGAGTAAGCAGCATTGTTTCTCCACAGGAGTGCAGACAGCTGAAGAACTTCTCGTCTTTGAAAGCCATCCTGTCCGCCCTGCAGTCCAACGCCGTGTACCGCCTCAAGAAGACCTGGGCCGCTGTGAGCAGGTGTGCTGATGTTCTCAGAAAGCTTCAGGATTATGACTCCGATAATCTGGATTAACTTATGAATTGAATATTTCTTTTAGGGAAAGCATGACCGTCTTTGATCACCTCTGTGAGACGTTTCCCGATGAGAACTGTGTCCTCACAAGTGGAGTCGAGGTAAACATGTTTCTCATCCTCATATATGTAAGAAACTTGGATTGAAACATCAAGTTTTAAGTTGGCTTCACTCTCAAATAACATGGAATAGAAATGAAGAACAAACCTAAAATATTCTTTAAATGAATCTGTTTTCCCCTGATGTTTCAGCAGAACTGAGCTGCATTTATCAGAAAACCCTTATCTGACAATTATGATAACCACTGAAAAGTCGCACTCGAGTAACCCGACATAAACTTCTGTAACGGAGTAAAACTGCTTGTGTTTGCAAGTAACTGGAGCGGAAAGTCCTGATTCTGACCATGCAAAGAGAAATGATTCCTGCCAAGGATTTCGTTTGTCACAGAACGCCACAGTTGAATGTTTGTCTCAGTACTTTAGTAAGGCATTTGATTTTGCTGCCCATGTTTTTCCACTTGAACAAGAGGAAAAACAAATCAATCAGCTTCACCAATCACAATTTCATACCAATTTCTGACCTCTGGGTTTGGTTTTTGCAAAGATTTTGGTTGATTCTGATTTCTTTTGAAGTGTCAAAATGAAAGAAAATACAAAAATAACACTGAAAAGATTTTATTCCAGCGACCACGCTGAGAAAAAAAAAAGTTCAATATATTTCCAGGCTATTTTTAATTTTGAAAAAAGCCGTCTCAATGAAAATCCCAGAGGTTTTAACACCTCGGCATATTTATCTTTAGAAATCCAGCTGTGATTGGAAATAACCAGTCCCTGGAACGGCTGGTCTGGATGGGAGCGGAGCAACAAAAGAATATCGAGAAGCAGCTTTTTCTAAGCAAATGTACAACAGTGGGGTATTAGATGAAACTGCTCTGACTTGAGGAGTTTCATTTGTCATCTCTGTGTAAAAAGAAGAAAAGTAAATCGATCCTGCATGTCTTATCTAATGCCAAACACTGCCTGGGTAAAGCACAGCAAGCAGACATTAATCTGAACCTGCAGCTTTCCTCAACACATAACATCCATTTGTTGGGTGAACTTTTGTTATTGCTCAAGGTGTTTCACATATCGGATAACTTCTCACTTTTTCTTTTGTTACGGTGAGCAACAGCCGATAAAGATGTGTATTTAGTGACTACAGTCAGACACTCCAGTTTTTGTAAAACCTGCCCTCTAATGTTGCACAATGGCTGAAGCTAAACTGGTCATGTTGCACCCTCCCACATCCCCAGCTCCACTCAGCCCTGCAGGAAGCCATTATATAACGCGTCCACTTGTTTGTTGTCGCCTCGCTTTGATTCACGAGCGTTGACGCGACTCTTGTCCTCTCCCTAAGAGAGGAGTCATTGTGACAGCAGCGCCACGCATAGCTGAAAGCCATGACTGCCTCCAGAGCCGCGGTGAAAGGAAACCCCGCGATCTGCTCTGAAATCGTCTTCCACTTCCCAAATTTCAGTTCTGACCACTGAAATAGGATAAATGTGTCAGCTGGTAGAGAAATGTGTAACACGAAGTCCTTAATTGTCTCCCTGAATCATCAGATCCACTTCCCTTAAGCTGATTCAGTGATTTACGCTTCCTCCTCTTCTTTTTGTGCTTGAAAATGGAAAATGTTCACAAGTTCAGCACAAAGGTAAAGGAATTAAAAGGTGATTCCTACATTTATTACAATTATTATCGGCTGGTGGTTATGGCAAATGTTTCGCTTCATATCCGATGTTTCAGACAGAGCAGCAAATGCATCGTTTAAAATACTTTTATTTTATGACGAAATGAAAACCTCAGGCCAGAATATTTAATATTTCTAGTTGTTGTTTTTTTCTGCGTGTGCCTCATGCATAATGTTTGTTTTCCCCCGCAGAGCTTCAGCTGTGGTGTGGTGCCGTACCTGGGGACATACCTGACGGTCCTCACCATGTTGGACACGGCGCTGACCGACACGCTGGAGGTCGGTTCTTCACCTGCTCTTCTTTAGGGTCCAATTCAGAGCTGTCTGCTCCCATTGTAACTTTGGTGGTTTAACTTCTTTTACAGGGGAATCTCATCAACTTTGAGAAACGGAGACGGGTAAGTTCTGCCCCCTAGTGGTGCTTCATAGGAATATCTGTTTGAATGAATTGAAAGCGCTGCGGTTTGCAGCACTCCTCCTTTAAGTGAATGGATCTTTGACAGCCAAACTTCTCATTTATATTTTCAATTGAAATTGATTTAAAAAGGGCTTCAGACTCTGGATACCTCTGGCTTTTTATGACGTGTGCAGAATTTGATTTATTATCATCAGTTTTATATGTTTCATGGATTATTCAGTGTTTATAACTTTGCTTCCTTCAGGAGTATGAGATCCTCTCACAGATCCGACAGCTGCAGGCTTTCTGCTCCCACTACAGCCTCTCGGTGAACTCTGACCTCACAGACTGGCTCCAGGCTCACACTCTGCTCACGGAGCAGGAGAGGTAAAACCAGGAAAAGGAAACGGTTTTGATGAAGGTTTCGCCAAACCCTGCCGTGTCTCATGTTTTTTTTGTTTCCACAGCTACGAGCAGTCTCGGGACCTGGAGCCTCCCGTTGACCCTTGCCCCAACTCTCCCAACTCTTGGAGCCGCCGCCTGCTGGCCAATAAGCTCGCTTCGTAAGTTTTGAAAGATCAGCTGTCAAAACTCAAGTTAGCTATTGGTTGCTGTAACTTTATTTATTATTATTTTTTTTTTATGTGCAGGTTGCGAACATCGCACTCGGATCAGATGAGCGTGTCGTCGTCTGGATCCAGTGGTTCAGACCTGGAGGATCTCTCCACGCCTTCACCCTTCAGGCTCAAACTGAAGGTAAAAGAGCCCTAAAGTGTCCAGACTCCTGCTTGGACTCCATTCAACTCAGGTTTTCTCCCTTGCCTTCAGTCTCTCCCAGGCTCTCTTCACAACGTAGCGGAGGACTTCTCCATGTCTTCCTCACCCTCACCGAGCCTCTCCAGCTCATCCTGCTGCTCCTCACAGCCAGACCTCTCCTCTTCTTCTCTGGCGCTCAGCCCAGAGTCCTCCCCGTCGTCGTCTTCATCGCAGTCCACCTGCTCCCCTCAGGCCGTGCTGCCTCTCTACAACAAACAGATCGCAGACTCGTGTATCATCAGGGTCACGGTGGAGTGTGTCAGCAACGGGAACATCTACAAGAGCATCCTGGTACGTTGACCAAATACTGGAGATCTGCTGCAGTCCAAAACAAATAAAAGATCTATTCTGTTATGTTGCTAATTATAAAGACCTCTCCATTTATAATTTCTATCAAAATACTGAAAGAAAGTTATTGAAAATCAATTGAAATGTATTATTGTTGAGCAGCGTCTGCTTAAAGAAAATAAATAAGACAAAGGAATAACTAGCTTTTTTATTTCTGTCAATTTTTTTATAAGAATAACAAATTAAGAATGAAATGAAGTTTATTACTGTTCTTGTAATGGTAGTGGACCATGTAATAATGAAATGTAATAACATTTTAAAAATAGTTGCAATATTTTCTGAATGCATAAATATACAAATTTTGGCCGATATTGATAGATATTAATATTGTTGCAACTTCCGATATTTACAGACATTACATTTATATTTCACTAATCTTTCAACGCCTGGACATAGAAACTGCCTCTGTGCTTCAGTTAAACTTCCCACAATTCTTTGCTGCATCAATCTCATGACTAAACAAATACCACAATCAACCTCCTCCACTCCAGAAACAAACAGCAAGATTGAAATAATATTGGTCATTAATACCAACCCAGTCTGATACCGATATGTTGAAAAATATTAGTGTAGATGTGTCATCCTAATTTACTCATTTGTCCTGGAGTTGCAAATTAAACATTAAGATAATCCAGCTAATATCAGGGTTGAGTTTTCTATCCTGTAACTGCATTGGTGAAGCCTTCCTGTTCTCCGTGCAGCTCACCAGCCAGGACCACACGCCGCAGGTGATCCAGAGAGCTCTAGAGAAACACAACATGGAGGATTTCAGGAGCAGCGACTTCGGCCTCTACCAGCTGCTCAACCATGGAAGAGGTGAACATCTGCACTCAGTGTGTCTAAAATGTTTCTGCTTAGATTATCATTACTATTACAGGTTCCTGTCAGACCACTGTTCCCTTCTAAACTAAACCACTTTTAAACTGCTTGTATAAGAAGTGTGGTTTTAATGTAATTAAATATAACAATAAAAAAGATCTTGTTCAAAAAGTTCTTTCTGCCAAAAACAAAACAACAATAACGATTGTTTAAATCAAATCACAGGACACACCGAGCAACTCCTCACGTGCGTTTTGTTTTCCTCAGAGCTTCACATTCCTGACAACGCCAACGTCTTCTACGCCATGTGCACCTCGGCCAACTACGACTTTGTGCTGCGGCAGCGCTGGAGGAGCCACGGGAAGCAGTTTGGCTCCTTCTCCAGCCCTGGCGCTCGGCCCAGGGGCCGACACGTCAAATGAACCACAAGCTTCTGCACAGGCTGAACGTTTACCGACGTGACTGCAGCACCTCGTCGCCGTCAGAAGCCCCGACTTGCTTCGGAGGCTCCTCAAGTTTCTGTTCATAACCTCAAAGACCGTCGGCGTGTCTGACTGACTGACTGAAGAATAACTCGGAGCAGTTCTCACTTTACCAGCAGAACAAAAGAAAACCTGCTCCGTGAGAGGAGAGATGACACCAATCCAGATGTTCATCCAGGATGTCTAGTAGTGTGGGATCTGAATCCCATCTGGAGGGAATCATCAGCAGTCCTGAGTTTGACTCATCAAGGGAAACTCCTGAATGACTACAGAAGGATTTTTTGGCCTCACCCAGATAATCTGAAAGCATAACACTCCTTGGATACAGAAACATTGTCCTGAGAGTAGCTCATGAACATGCACATGTCTAGTTTGAAAATTTAAATATTTTATACAATCTAAATGTAATTTTAACTGTTTAAATTATTTAACGCACTTCAGTATTTATGTGTGAAAGCAATGATGGCGCAATGCGCTGCAACAACACAAAAATATCAAGTTTTTTTTACAGGTTCTAGTGCAAATATATTAGCAAACTATATTATATATTCGTCCACTTGAAGCAAGACAAAACTAATCTACAAGTAACTTCAGCAAAATACAGAAGCTTGTTTTAAATCAATAATTCATTCATATGGATGAAACAATACTGGCAGATTATTTCACTTTTAACAAGAAAATGTCCCAGATTGTAAGGAAAATATTTAGCCAATGGAAATAGCACTTTTTTAAAATTAATGTTAAAAATTTTTTGACTGAAAACAAACTCTTTAATCTTTCTGAAAAGTTGGGGGTTTATTTTTCAAAGTGTAATAAGTCATTTGCACTAAAAACTCGACAACAAATACTGTCTGAGTTTGTTTTTGCGGAGTGAGAAAAAGTTTGAGCCTGTTTAGATTCTGTTAGGATCTGATCTGTACTGACGAGGTGCAGACAGCAGTAACGGCTACTCCGCTCCTTTTTCAAAACACTTTTTGCAAAACCAGAGTTATGAAGGATTTTCACGTTGATTTGAATTTTGTAAATGTGTCCCAGCCTTCCAAGCTGCAGGTTTCAGTCAGGCTGCAGCAATTTATCGAGCGCATGCAGGTTTGTTGCTGAAAAGATTCCTGTGACGTTTATGGTCTAACAAACACCTGGATTAATACATGCAGGTGTTTGGTTTTTGAATTTTGTGCCTAAATCTGGCATAAAACTTTGATTTACTACAGTTCTCATAAGCTCTGCCCAGACTTGTTAGTTGTCAGTTTAAAAAAAGAAAGTTTTGTTTTTTGTTGTTTTTTTTCTGTAGTGGTCAAATGAAGAAACATCCTGCAGATTTCAACTGGTTTTGCTCTCTAACCTCGTTTGCATTGTGTAATTGTTTTGTTGAAGTCTTTTTCTAAATATATATTTTGCTGATTCAGTGATGTAAGAAGCAGCTGGTCATTTGAAGGATGCACAGTGTGACCCTCGGCTGCTTCACTGTTTCTGATCTGAAGGGAGGCCCTGGGATGCGAGAAGACGCGTTTCTGCGTGTGACCCGAGCGACGTCTCCAGTCTGAAGACGTTCAGCCGAAGCTTTGACAGCGAAAGAGCTGAAATCTGCAGTGAAGAGGAAATCGATGACTTCTGCTGTTTGTTCCTCCATTTGTTCCTCCATTCGTTGTGCCGTATTAAGTTCATGCATTTGACCTACTTATATTGTCACTTTGTAAACATGTTTTTGTTGTTTGTTTTTTAAGAGATGTTTTATTTTTGTTTAATCTAAGCACATGTACATATTTAGTATTATATATTCACTAATAAAGCAAGTCTACAGTTTTGCGCTTTATTTTTCTTATTTGTGACATTGGTCCACTTTGATATTTGGTTGAGGCACATTTAAAAATCACTTTCGTTATTTTCATTTTCCAGCCTCTTCAAATCTTACAGACGATCATATTTCCTGTCCCTCTTCAGGTGACCCTACAGATTCATGTCAGACTTTAGTTCTGGGTTCTGGTGAAACCATTTAAAAAAAAAAAGAAAAAGTTTTTCATTTTGCCTAAGAATTCATGTTTAGTTTATTTATCCTCTTTGGTTCTTGCTTAAAGAGTTACACTTTCAAAGGTTAACAGATTATTCAGAGAAATTACTGGGAGGAATTATTAGCTCAAAACTTACTGAATGCACATCTTTACTGTTGAATCTCGAAACGGCATTAAGAAAAGTACCACATCTGACCGCTAGATGGAGGCAGATACAAGACAAAGATCACATTCTGCTTTGTTTATTGTGAACTCCTCATTCTTCTCTTTCATCTTCTGTGCGAGGCTGTTTATGAGAAAATAAAATATTTATTTCATTTAAGTAAATTATGATTTCGAGGTTGTATAAGTTATAATTGTGTGTTTTTCTTAAAAACTACACACAATTAGGTAAAACAGACAAAAAACGATTTAAAAAGCACTTCCATAAAACGTAGAGAATGTTTCTTTGCAGGTTATATTTTTCTGGTTAATATTATCCAAGCAAACTAATCGTCTTGTTCTGAAAGAGAGGGATGATGTATATTGCTAAGGAGAAAATCAGATGTAAAGGGTCACACAAAAAGTTATTGAAGCGTTAAAACAATATGTAAAAAAGACAAGCTCAGCGATAACTACAGCGGTTATAATGTACAGTACAAATAGAAATATTATGCACACGTATGAGCCAAGAAACAGGCCATAACTTTTTAAAGTGTGCTTCCTGTGCATATAAAATGCTGTTTACAACACAGCACACTGGTGCAGAAATCAGGTCTTTTACTTGCCTTTCTTTAATTATGCAAATGTATCTGTGTAAGAACATATTGTTTGCGTGTTCAACATAAATAAACGAGGACAGACATTAAGCTGTGAGTCCAGCGGGAGCTGGAGTGCAAAACCTGCCCAGCCAGTTCTGTTGCTGTTAAAACTCTTATTTCCATATTTCGGATCTTATTTCTGTCCTGGTTACGACTTCAGCTGGAGACGTAAAAACGTGTTTACTGTCTGAGGTCTTTTCTGCCTTTTTTATTCGCTTTAAAATCCTGAAAAGAAATAGGACTGGCAACTTGGTATTTAACAAATTATATCAGTTTAACCTCTATGTGAATAACTAAATCAATAAAATGTTCCTAACTATTTATTTGCTGTGAACGTCCACCTAATCGGGCTTGCCTTAGCTTTACAGATAAATGTGTTTAACTTCAGCAATATAATTAATTATATTTTATTTTTTAAGCTGTGTGGAAGTTTTTGTTTGCGTGGGTTGCGCTAAGTTTTCCAAACTACTACCTGTGAAATCTGTTCCATTACTTGCACACTTAATTATCTATTTGATATTATCACACATTGAAACTAGGCTGGTTTAAAAAGTGGAATCAGATTCGTTTTCTTTTTTGCAAAAGTGACGCAGACTGCATGAAGCAAAGGTCATTCCATTTTTAACAAAAGGTCAACGCCTCTGTGGTGAGAAAATATTATATTTTGATAAACATTTGGGCTAATTGTATTTGATCTGACAAAGTGGAAAAAAAAGGGTTTTATGTGTTTGTTTGGATAAAAAGTGACACAAAACATACAGATGCCAAAACAGAGAATTAGGTTGAATAATTCATTCGTATTTTAGTTGGATCTGTGTCGACTTTCTTGCCCAAAATGAAATTCACCTTTTTTGAAGCACTTTTGACTTTTGGAGTTGCTTCTTAAACAATTTTGTTCTTCCTCTCTGCATTTGGGTACTTGTGAACAGAACGCCGTTACGCAAGACAAATAAAATGCATCACTAGAACCGTACGCGGGGCATAAAACCCATTTTATCTCAAGTCCCCGCAGAGGAACAGCTGCGATCAAAGGCCAGAGTCACTCGCTCGACCTTAATGTGTCGACAGTGTTTATGAGCCGCATGTAAACTGTTCTCAGCTGAGGTTTAAATCATTAGCCGTTTAAAGCCCTGTTGCACTTTTCTTCATGTGATCATGGCTGCCGTAACACATGCAGGTGGCGTGTTGATCACGCCCAGGCCGAATGTACAGTGGGTAAGATGGAAAAGGATTTCCTTATGTAAACACAAAGCCTCTTTTGCTGTGCAGTGTGTGTGTGTGTGTGTGGGGGTGTGTGTGTGTGTGTGTGTGTGTGTGTGTGTGTGTGTGTGTGTGTGTGTGTGTGTGTGTGTGTGTGTGTGTGTGTGTGTGTGTGTGTGTGTGTGTGATCCCCCGGGTCTGGGGTGCTCGGGTGGACAGATGGGCGAAGTGGCCGGGACTGATCTAAAGGGGTTAATCCACTTAATATCCACCGGGAACAACAGCAGGTCATCTCAGCGACAAACATGTTTGTTTGTCAGGCTGCGGAGCTTCAGGAATGCCAACATCTTTTCAGATGAAATGTCAGCAGCGTGAAGTCCACCAAACCCAAAACCCCCCCGTGAATATTCACACCAAAAAACAAACAAACAAAAAAAAAAACAGTGAGTTTTAGTGGGATTTTCATGATGGATTGCAATTGGTGTGCAAATCAGAGGGAATGTGATGGTCGGTTTTCACATTTTGATGGATAAAAAAAATCAGAATCGTGATTCAGACTCTTCACTCTGTTACCCCTGAATAAAATGAACCACTTGCCTGAAGAAATCACCGGGAGTTTTTGCATCTCTGTTGCTTAATTGCAGTGATAATCCAGATGTTTTGCGAAGACGTCTGCATTGCTGGGTTTCAGATGACATCACCCAGTGCAGATGGAGGGCCGGAAGTAAATGGGGCCCATTTGTTTCCGTTGATCCAGCATCAAAATGTGGATAGTTTGAGTCCATTAGAGAGAAAGATAAACGTTATTTTTGTGTTTGGAAGGTAGTTGGTCACAAGGGAGTTTTTTTTTTTTTTTTAATTACCAAAGAAAGGAGAGAAGTGGATCAACAACCTACAGCTAATAACAGGAGGTGCAGAAACAAACATCACCAGAGTTTGCAGCGACCAGCTTCTAACAGGTAATGATCGTTGAAATTGTTTTTCCAGATGTTTTTGAAAATTTCTTCTGGCTCTAAGATGAGGTCTGCAGCTCCAGATAGTTACGTTGATCGCCTCCATGCGGGCAAATCCTCCACATTATAAGAGAAGCCGTTTTTACTGAGACAATACAAATCATATCCTAAATAAACGTGCATTTCTTTCGAGATGCCTTCTCTGGTCCAGCCTATTTAGGGCATTAGGGTACCTTTGTTGTGATCAATTTTGCTTTGTTTTGAACTGGAGAAATCCACTTCCGGCCCTCCATCTGAATTTGCCCTAACACTAACCCTAACACTAACCCTAACCACTAACCCTAACACTAACCCTAACCACTAACCCTAACCACTAACCCTAACCCTAATCCTAACACTAACCCTAACCTGTCATCCGGGTCTCAGCAATGAGAGGACCAACAGCATCATGAAGAGCACAGCGTTCATTTAGAGAAGCAGCCAAGAGGAGTGTCACTGCGGAGATCCACAACCCAGGTGGGAGGAGATTTGATTTGATTGTGTGCTCCACAAACTTGGTTTTTACTGAATAGTGGGGGGGAAGAAAACAGGAGAAATCCAATTTTCAGGTCCCTCAACAAAGAGCAAACATCTGAAAGGAGCCGAACGTTTTGTCTAATGTAAAACACGACCTGTGGCTGGAAACTAACTCTGCAAATGTGATCATCTAACGCATAAAAACCTGAACATAAACCACAAAAAATGTGAGTATGAAGACAGTCCAGTTTGGATACAATCAGTATAAACTACATACCCTACAGGTCCATCAGATGTTTCAAGCTTTGAAACATTTAGAAAATCTAAATATTGTTATTTACATTGACTTATGTGTAAGTTATATCATGCTTCTATTTCACAAAATAAAACCCAAAATATCTTGGAAACTTGCCCAATTTGTGAAACCTTTGCCTTCTGACATGGGTGTCCTAACTTTTAATCAACTTTATTTTCTTACAAAATGCATTATTAGGTCAACTTCACTTCCACTGAGGATGTTCATGAAATGACAGATGCCCACCAGAGCATTCCTTCAACCTGCTGGGTTGTGCTCATTTGAAACCAGCCAATAATCCGAGACCAGAGATCCTCCAGTCCTCCGCAGGTTACAAAGAGAACCTGTTTTTGTTGTTGTTGTTTTCAGTGGCCTGGTGGAAACCAGTGGAAATGCAGCAGTAAGCAGATGAAAGGCACGGTGCCACCGGTCAAAGGAGCAAAGTCTCTTAAAACGATCCCAAAAACTTGTGCAATCGAAGCCTGGAGGTCATTGCCCAGGTGCCGCAGACGAGGGGAGCGGCTCAACGTGACACAGATTGCTTAACATTCACCTTTGGATGGAGTTCGTTTCAACAGCAAGAGCCAGGGAATAAACTGCAGAGCGTAATGTTCAAAGAAGAAAATAAAAGTCCAGCACTGACGACCGCATGGACTGGAAAGAGTTCCTTGCAGAATGTTTGTCGCCTTCTGGGTTCGTTCTTCAGGAATCAGAAGCGAACAGCTTGATCCTGTTTGCAGACCTGTTGGATGTTTCAGGTCGGGTCAGAGGGCTTGTTAAGCAGCTAAAGACAGAGCTTTTATTGTGTTGTATTTTTATTGGCGTTCAACTTGGCTGTTTTTTTAGTTTTTCTAAT